GGCAGCAACCATTCCTCTCTGCCTTGTGACAGCCAGATTGTGCTTCTGCTATTATAAAAGTCATGCCAGAAGGATGCCTTAATTGTATATAAATATTATTTTTAATTTAAGGGATCTGCTGTCAGAACCTCACTGCCGACAGGCACAGATGATTTATAGGACAGCAATTCCTTCCCAGATAAACAAAGCGTTATTAGTAGTAATACTCGGTACTTACACAACCTCTTCCTTACAAGTGTTCTCACAACCTTTGCAAACACTGGAGCTGAAGAGCTCTCCTGCAGCGCAGGGAGGGCACTTCCTCAGGCTGAAGTGAGGGTAAGGACCTGTAAACTGCATCCTTCCCCTTGTGCAGTTGAATTCAGTGAAGTGTGGCTTGATTCAAGCCAAACTAGAATAATTCGAGGCCCAAACAGCCACATTTTTCAGTATAACAGGGCACATACAAAAACTGTTAACGGTGTCTGCTTACCCAGAGCCCAACAGCCAGGACAAACACAAAGTACAGCACGAGGACCGCGATGTCTATGGAGTCCAGCGTCTTCTGGGGGAACACATCCCACTGGGGAGTCACAGACGCTGGGGTGCTGCTGGTGGTCTCCATGGCTTCTGGTGCGGGCGGGCACTTCTTTGTCCTGATGCATGTATCTGTCAAAAAAAAAGGGTCGGGTGGTTAGGGGCAGGAGCAGGGTGGGGGCAGCACCGGGGAGGTGCCGGCTGCTTCCTGGGGTGCTCAGCGCTGGCCGGGCTGTGGGGCTGTGGGGCTGCTGGTGCCGGAGCTGTGGAGGTGGCTCCTGTGCCTGGTGCTCGTCCCCACTCACTGATCCCTCTGGTCCGTGATGTGCCAGATGCTGCCAGGGTCAGGACCCTTGGCGTGGCTGAGTTTTTACCCAGCAGAGAAATGGGCGCGTTACAGAGAAGTCACTAGCTGAACAGAAAAAATCCAGGCAAGGAGGCTCATTGGGAACCAGTGTCGTTCCTCTTCCTTTCCTCCTCCTCCTCCTCTCATCCAGCCTCTACCTTGCTTTGAAAGCAGAACAGGAGGCGAATGGCAGCACCAGCAGTGGCGCAGAAAGTGAGCCTCTGGCTTTGGTGGTCACGCAGGATCCCTGTGGCCCAGCACCCTGCCCTGCTCACCCCCCCAAGGATATACAGGATTTGCTTCCTCTTACCCTGCTGAGACGAGGAGACGTCCCCTGGGCAGGGTAGACCCTGCACCCCTGCGGCACCGTCACCACCAGGACACCGGGCTCCTGCTCGTCCTCCTCCTCCCCATGCCTGCAGAGCTGCCCAGCTCCTTTGGCCACTCTTGCACTCGTAAGGTGACACTTCCAAGCTCCCCCCACCAAAAAGCTGGAAAAGGTGGGGCAAAGGGAGGCGGTGTGCCCTGCCCTGATGGCCACGCAGAGGGAGCTGTGTGGGCGCTGTGCTGCGGTGCTGCAGGGGCAGGCGAGAGGGGCGGCCGGACAAGTTCTGCCCCCGAGCGCAGCGCTCAGCGAGCACGGACAGAGACATCCACCCCATCCCTTGGTCCTGGGTTTCACAACCTCCTCTGGCCTCACCTCTTTGTGAGCATGCAATCGCTGCTTTGAGCAGCAGCCGAGAGCTGCCCTTAACTCACCCATTGCCTGAAGAGCCGGCTGGATGCAGCCAACTGCTCCTGGCATCGTGGCACTGCCGTGTGCTCCCTGCCCAGGTGTGTGAAGGGAACGGATACACAAAAGTTCACCCCACGCACTGAGGCAATGTTGCCAGTGCACCGGTGATGGAGCTGCAGCAATTTCACAGCTGGGCAGCACTGAAAAGCTCAGGCTCTGCCCTGTGCCACTGCAAACTCATCCCCAGCACAGTCTGTATGGATGAGGACCTTGGGGCTCGTGCATTTATGGCAGTAAGGGACGAAGCATTTTTAGGGTGTCAGGCGAGGCCCTGCACTCCCATCACCCACTGCCCACAACCAGCAGGTTGTATCCTGAGACATCAGCATCCTACAGCTCACGTGCCAAAGGCAGTCCAGAGCCGCGCTGTGGTCGGCTGAGAGCGGTGCCAGTGCTGGGCTGAGAGCAGGACCCGCAGGACCCCGCAGAGCCCCTCCTGTGCCCTGCAAAGCACCCGGCTCCCACTGAATCCCCTTGGGGCAGTGGCCTTGCAGGGAGGCAGAGCACAGCCCATCAGACGGTCAGTGGTGCCCTACATCTTTAAGAGGCAAGGTATTCTGGCTTTTGCTGCACTTTCACTGGCATGCTCAACCTCTAACTTGGAAAAGAGAAACACAGTTTGGTGCGCCAGCCTCAGGAAGCTGCTAACCCCTCTAACACCTCCCACTTTCTCTTTTGCAGCTCTGATATTGCCATTTCTTTTCACTTCCCGTAGCAGGGCCAGGTGCTGTAGTGCAGCCAGCACCACGAGCTACCTGCGCTCAGTCTGGCACGGGGCAGGGCGCACGGACACCTCTGTGCCTTTTCCTCTGCAAGGTGTACAGTGCCTGAGCAGAGCCCTGCGGGCATTTGTCATGCCTGTCAATGCGGAAGGGACATGCAGGACATGCTCGGGTGAATTCCCAGCACCAAGGTGTGTCCGTAGGTCCCGTTTAAAGCCACGCAGGGTCCCTGACCCGGCGGTGAGCTGCAGGGCGAATGCAGTGAGCTCAGCCGCTCTGATTTCTAATTCTAACCCTGCCCAGGCCCAGTGGAAATTTTGCCTGTTTTGTGCATTCAGGTCACAGCTCGGTCTCCCTCGGTTCCTGGCACAAGCGGCAGCGCTTTCCCCGCCAGAGATTGTGAGGAAGGAACATCCGTGGCATAGAAATGCAGCCGCTGAAGCCAGCCTTTATCAATGGTCCCAGGGAGACGCAGCCCACGTGGGTGTCGAGGCACCGTCTGGACTCTATCACTCTAAATGCCGCTGTAACAGGATTTTTTAAAGCTTTTCCAAGCTCTATCCACCTTCTAAAGACACCACCGCTCGTCGGGAAGAGAGTCAGCCCCGAAGCCGCCCCAAAGCCGCCCAGCACCCAGAGCTCCCCGGCACGAGGCAGAAGCCGAACGGGAACTTACTGCGCTCAGCTGGGTCTCATTCTGTTCCCTCGCGCTAGGCACCACCAAGCCTCTGCCAACTGACAGGCAGCTTAAATATTGCCAGAGAATCGGGATTTGCCAGCAGAGCTGTTAGCAGTGTCACAAGGAATGAGGAGGAATATTTATAGTCAAAGTTAAACTAATTGCCCGGTTACTCTTTCGGTCTCTCACAGCTCTGGCAAGAAGTGCCTTATTTCCACTATCAGGGCTCATGGTTCAAATTCCAGAGTGCCATCCCCTGAAGCAATCTGCGGCTAAGGAAGGGACACGTAACAATAAGAAAGTCAGTGCTGGTGTCCTTGCAGGCTGACATCCCAAGACACAGGAGGGAGCCTGCAGCTAGTCCTGGGTCTAAGTTCAACAATAATAAACTCGAGCACCCCAAAGCTCGGGGAACCAGAAGCAAAGTAGGGAAAGCGTGTCTGTAAAAGTGTCTGTGTTTTAGCTCATTGTTTCCCTCTCAGCTCACTGCTGATGGATAAAACTAAAGGGCTTTGAAACCTGTGACTGGAGATGCTTGAATTTGGTCTGCTAGAATGTGGAAACTCCAGATTTTCCTGAATTGTGCTACAACAACGCAGATCCTCAGAGGCTTCAAGCTGAGCAGCCAGGTGCCTTGCGCTACCTCCAGCCCATGCAACTTTTTTATGACTTCCAGCTCTCCCACTCTGAAGCTGAGACTTCTGTTTGTCTTTATGGCAGCTCTCACTGCCCCTGGAAAAAAAATCACAACTCACAGCAAAAATAAAATCACGACTCGCAGCACTTCAGGCTGGATGCTTAGAGGAAGCGTTCAGCCATGTTCCAGCATGGCTTGGAGACGTCAGCCTGGAATTATTTCATCCCAGCCAGCCCACCAACAGGAGCTGTGAGCACATCCTCACCATGACTTTCCTAAGCTGCTTGCTCTCTTTTAGATTTATTTATTTTTTTTCCATTTCTTGCAGGAAAGAGTGAAAACCCTTAAATATTCCCAAGCATGAAATGCAACCTGGGATTTCCGTGCTGGCTGTTTCACTGCCTGTGGATGGAGCCAGCCCCGCGGGGGTGGAGGAGCCGGGTCCCGGAGCAGGGCGGCTCCAGGAGTTACTGCTCCCTTCCCAAGGCCACGCTCTCCCGTGAGGACAGTGCCACGGTCAAGGCTGACTTCAGTTCTGCTAAGGATGAGCTGGACAAGGCTGAGAGGAGAGCTTCCAGCCACTGCGTTCATTCTGGGGAAAAATGGACCAAGTGTTTGATGTTATCAAGAAGAAACAAGACAACAAGTGCGTGGCTGGATGCAGCCAGGGACCAGGCGCAGTGTGGAGGCTGCAGGGCACCGTCTCTGGCGGTTCACAGCCCTGTGTGGGCAGCCAGGAGAGCCGAAGGAACACCGGGAGGCTGCGGGCACCTGGTGTGCACATCCCCTAGCTCTGCTCAGAGCCATTTTACAGTTGCCTGTGCCATGGCCTCCAGGGAGGAGCTGCTGCTGGAGCAGGCTGCTGTAAACAAGCTAAACTACAACCAGGAAATCTGATAGGAGAGCAGCCCCTATCTATCTGCGGGTAGGGTAAAGGGAGATAAATTGCTGCAGGGACATAAACTTGTCCTCAGCCAAGGATTCCTTTACAGAGAAAAACAATTCGCTGGCTCATAGGCACACTAACTACTTTCTTCTGAAGGCTGCAGAAAAAATCCATACTATTTTAAGAATTTGCTGCTCATATTCATCGTGCTAGATGGAATGTGGCTCACAAACTGCTCTCTGCTGAAGTGTGGAGTTGTTTTCCTCAGGCCAGCAAGGTCAGATGCAGCAGCCCTTCTCTTGGAGGTACAGGGCCCGACACTGTGGTGTGCAGTCACAGGAGAGCCAAATGCAGAATTCCTCACACCTCCATCTGCACCTGTGGGACCAAGCGATTTTTAACAGACTGTAGATGCACGTGCAGTCAGGAGGCAGAAGGCAGTAGCTTTATTTTGGGAATAGCACATAGGCATTGGGTAGAGACTGAATTGTGAATATACAGAGTCCCGTTATCAAATAATATAGTTGTATCTCAGAAGTTCTGGTTCTTTGAAAATATTCACATAAAAATACCAAAGGGATCGGAGTTCTAACTATTCTGGAAAGTTACAACATGTAGCAAAATCTATGTACAGCACGTTCATATTTTTAATGACAGTTTCAAAATAAACTCCAGCAGTTTAAATGTTTAACATAATTATTAAAAAAAAAAAAAAATCAACTGAAAGCAGTGTGCAACACCCAAACTGGGGAGTGGAGCTGAGTGCGCGTTGCCCTGTCGCCACCGTCAGTGGAGAGGAGAGACCGAGACGGGCAGGGCTGGGCTCCGCCGGCACAAGGCTGGAAACTACCTGGCACTTGCAACTGTATGGGCTGAAAACGCTGTGAAAACACTTCACTTTCTACGGCAGGGTTTAAAAAATAATGAAAACCGAAGATGTGATGGTCGTAAGGTCTCCCATAAATAATGCACCGGTTGGTGGTTCTGCGCTTCAGCACAGGCTGCAGGAAGAGCTCTTGCTCTGGCATCGACGTGCAGAGGCTCACCGAGGCTGCGGCGGGCCGGGAGGTTGGAGCGTGTCGGGTTGGAAAGGCAATGGATGCATTTTGCACGGAGCAATGCCTCACAATATTAACGCACGGTAGTTCTGCTGCCGCAAAGCTCTTGGGGTGCTGCGTTGCCTGGAGGCGCATGCACTGCCCGCAGGGTGCTCTTAGCCCTTTTGTCCTGGCGACAGCTCGCAGGGAATTTAATTAATGTATAGAACAATCAGCTGTTGTTGGGAGATGGGCATGAATGCTCCTAGAGTTCCCTGGGTATATCCAGCACAAACTGGTCACATCATGCGGTGCGCCAAAGGGACTGCAAGGACCCCAGCCCCTGGCAGCGGATACCAGAGGGCACAGGAGATGTTTCTGGCTGTGCTCTGCTGTCCCTTGGGGCAGTACCCGAGGCTTCAGAGGGCTCCCTCTCATTCTGAAGCTACTAAGGATTTTGTGCTTTTCAAGGAGGCACCAAAATGCTCAGGGGTTTGTGTCTCCTGGCGAGCTCAGGTAAGTCTGGGGCTGATGACATCAAATTACCAACAAGATTTTTTATCAGCCATTGCCACACCTTTAAGCAAAGCTGATGGCCAGAAGGGCTCTGGGGCTTTCCTTGCTCTCCTGAGCAGCTGGGTACAACCAGCCTGGACCCGAGGTTGGCACCACATGGGTGTGCCATGCAAGGTGCTGTCTTTTCTCACTGCCACTGGCCGGCAGTGGCAGGCATCAGAGCCTCCGGGCCACCACCAGTGGTCTGCACCCGACCTCTGCCGCCTGCGCAGGCAGCCCCACGCCGTGCACATCCAGTGCACAGGGGCTCAAGAGGGTCACACTCATCCCCAGTGCTCCCATCCCAGCCTGATCAGCTCTGCAGATGTGAGGGGACTGCTTGGGCACGAGGGGACATCCTGCACGAGGGGCAGGGACCCTGCGCATGCACCACTGGCCATGGGGACAGGGGACAGGGGACAGGGGCAGGGATCCCACAGCTGCTGGTGCCAGGACGCAGGGCAGCAGGGTTCTACCCGGCTGTGTCTGAAGCCCTTGATTCTGCAATACACTTGAAATGGAGGATGCTAAGAAGGACGCTGTCAAACCAAGGCGGTGTTTGCCTTCCTGTGCCCGTGCCTCACCCTCGCTTCCATCTGTGGTGCCCGTTCAGTGTCCGAGCTGCCCCGGCCCCTCGGCCCGCGGCTCTGCTCGGTGGTAGCAGGCAGCAGCAGTGTATTTACAACCAAACTCAACGGGAGCAAATTGCACTTTGTTGGCAATAAATGGTTGCACCTCGCGTTGCCACGGCCTGTCACCAGGCAAGGGGGGACGTCATCCTGGGGCTGCGCTGGCTCTCACCAACCTGCACGTCAGTGAGTGCCCGCTGCGGGGAGAGAAAGCAAAGAGCAGGAGATGAGCATCAGGCAAAGGCAGCTGCTGTGGTCAGCGAGAACACGGCACCAGCACCGGCCTCTGCGCCCTTCACTGCCCCCCAAACTGCCCCATGGCACCACCTACCCAGGGAGTGTTACCCAGTTGGTGCCACCCGCCCTGGGGTGCTGCCAGCCAGCCTTTGTTAACTGGGGGCCACAGCTCCTGCTTCACCCTCCCCACTGCCGGTGTTTTGTCCCCATTTAGCAGGAAACCTCCCTCTGGCTGGCTTTGAGAAATGCAACTCACCTCAAACTTGCTCATGAATTCTGCAAAAATGCCAAAGAAAGATTCTGAAGTTGTCATTTTAGAGTCTTCCCCGAAGAAGGACAGCACCTTGCCGAATTCTTCCATGGCCTTGTGCTGCAGGTCATCCAGCGAGCGCATGGCGGGCTGGGCACTCTCCAGAAAGGACTGGGAGAGATGGCTTAAGGGAAAACAGCCGGACTGTGGGGTTAGTATGGATAATAATCGCTTCTGCTTGTGAGAGTGGCCAGGTTTCCTGCAGGAAAGGACCTGCTGCCAAGGGCCACACACGAGGGCAGCCTGCGGCCATGCACAGCAGCACATCCCAGGAGGGGGAGATGGCCCGGAAAGCTTTCTGGCCCCGTGGCAAGGGTTTCTGCCATGCAGGGGCCTGGGGGCTGGTGGCCACTACAAAGCTGTTTCCCACCCTGGCTAGGAGAGAGTAGAGTGTGGAGGTCCCCAAACTTCACCAAGTGCTGAGATGTGGGCATAGCGCTGCTGCTTACCAAGCAGGGACGATGACAACTAAATGTTGGTTTTTTTTTAAGTTGTGTTGGGGATTTGGCCCTTTTCCCGAAGGATACAGTCATCACGATTGCAAATCTGTCCTCTGCGGTAGCGGGCATGTTGTGGCAGGCCACCTGTATGTCACTGACGGTGGTGTGGAGGTCCTTGAGGTCGGCCGTCAGCGTTCTCTGGTTCACTGCAGAGCAGAGAGGAGCCAGCAGCGTTACCTGGGGCTGGCTGCCCTCCTGCCCCTAATGCGGGCAGCGAGCGGGGGCTGTGGCAGGGGTCGGGGCTGCCCGGGGACATGCAGCTCCATGCACCCTGCTCTGTGTGCTGCCTGCCCATGGGGTGCAAAGAGCAGCCGGGCCAAGTGTAAAATCCAGCTGGGAAAATGACCTTCATCAGGGGAAGATTTACATCTCTGGGCCTGAGTTTTCTTCTTTCTTTACCCCCTGTAGCACCAATTCCCAGGGGAATTGCTCGCAACCAGGAGGCGATGGCGTGCAAGGGGAAGGCAGCCCCACGGCTTGCCTGCAGCCAGCCTGCTGGGACCCCACCACTGCACACAGATGGTAACCCTGAGATCTCGGTGACTATTTTAAAGGCAGCTAGCCAAGCTGTGTGATCCTCAGTCCGTGCAAAACCTGCGACTGGACTGTGACCCCCTAACTGCGAGGTGGTGCACGCTGCAGGCAGGAACAACGCTGGCACCAGCCCCGGGGTGCTGTGCAGTGGGGATGGACAGAGACAGGGGCTGCGTGGAGCAGGATGGCTTCTGGCACTTCCTACTTCTGCTGCTCTTCGGCACTTACAGGGTACACCTGAACTCGCCACCAAACCTTCTCGTGTCAGAAGGGAGGCTCAGCACAGAGACAGCCGTGCCTGGGCACTGCTGGGTGCAGCAGCGTGTCACAGCCAGGAGCACCCCTGCCACTAAGCTCGTGCCTTTCCTGCCCCCTCCTGTCACTCTGGACCATTCCCCCTGGCTCAGGTCACCGTCCTGCTTGTACCAATGCTCATGGCCAGTCCTGTACCCGTACCGAACCAGGAGGCAGTGCGGATGCTCTTGCAGATGCTCTCGTTCGATTACCTTTGGCAGCGAGCGGCACTGTAGGAAGATCCTTGGCAAAGCCCAGGAGCTCTGGGAAGTGTTGGCTAAGTGATTTGGCAAGGATGTGCAGGAAGGTGGATTTCCCATCAACAGTCTTGGTCGTGTTCAGCTACAGCAAAGCAAAACAAGTTAGCAGACCCTGTGCAGAGCGGGGCTGGGAAGCACCCAGTGGGGCTGGTTGCACGGGGGCTCAGCCTGTGTCTATTCCTGTTCCAATGTTCAGTGTTTACGCAGCACATTACACCCAGACAGGAGGCACTGGGATGCTAAGCAGTGCCCCCACCCCACGGTGGGCTGTATCCCTGCCCAAGGCTAGGATGGAGCCCACACAGGGCACTTGGGGCCAAGACCTCCGGGGCCGGTGCTGTGAGAGGTCCCTGCCCTGCCGCCGGCCCTCGCTGGGAGCTGCAGCACCCAGGGGTGCTGTAGGAGCACAGACGTGATCACAGGTCACTGCAGCTCCCGGCACTGCTGCCTCCGGCACGAGGAGGAGCGCGCTCCCTCCTCCTTACCTCGGTGAGGAAGTTGATTTTAAAGCCTGTTGTTTTGCCGGTCTTGGGCTGCCCGTTGTTCAGGTAGTTTCCCATTGCCAGCACAAACTGCAAACACAAACGGTGGTGAATGACCAGCCAGCCTCCTCCAGCACTTGCACTGCCCCATCCCTATCTCCTTCGGTACCTTTGGGACCTGCTGTAGGGTCAGAGCCGCACCACGAGTGCAGCTTACGTTAGGATAAGTTCCCTTGCCACTTTCAGCACACTGTGATTTTACAGATCTTTTAGGGGATCTTTTAAAGAAAAAGCAGCGTTCCAGCAGGGCTGTTTCCCCTCCAGAAGGCTGACTCCTTATGCTGTGGCGTTGCAGCACCAGGGGCACAGCAGGGCCCTCGGGACCACCTGGAAGTCAGCCTGGGGCTCTCGGGATCCCTGCTCTCTGCTCGTTAATGTGCAGCCAGCCACTGCCTCCCCAGCACTTAACGAGGTGTTGGGGTCACTGGCCAGGAGCCACCAACGCGGTTCATCTCTCATCTGGAAACGCCTTCAGTCACACCGTGTTCCCATTCATCCCACCTGCTTTTTTTTTAAAGCCAAAGCGGGATGAATTAGCATTAATTTGGGGCAGCTCATCTGGGTCAGGCCAAAGGGAAGCTGCCAGCACCCAGCAGTGGGACCCTGAGGGCCAGGGGCCGGGGCCACACGGGGCTGTGCCACCCACCCCAGCTCTGAGGGCCCCGGAGGTATGCCAGGGACCCCAGCAGCTGCTGCCCACAGGGACAGTTCTGACCTCCAGAATTTTAGCCAGCTTCTTGCTGCTTTTCAGCTCCAGAGAGGCCTTGCAGATACACTCGTAGCTCGCTTTGATCTCCTCCGTCTTCTCCTGCAGGGTGGTCTTAAAATGTAGGCTGCGCAGACGGATCTTGTACTCTGGTACTGACAACATCTGAGAGCAAAAGGAGGAGAATTACTGCTGTCACCTGTAACCAAATCCTTCCTAGGTGACGCTCCCTGGCGTATTGAAAATACAGCTCCCTGTGCTTGAAAATGGGATGGTGCTGCAGGAGAAGGCTTGGTGCCCATACCCACAAGTGTCAACAGAAATAAGTCAGAGGCGGGCAACGTCACTCTTAGCATGCAGTAAATTTTGTGGTGTGCTTCAGCTGTGAAACTGCCACTGCTGGGAGCTCCTGGACACCTCGGGCATCGGCACAGGAGGTCCCGGTGATGGGTGCCCCCAGCTCTTCCCACCCACAGCAGCACTCGGAGCACACCAGAGCCCCGCTGGCTGCGTGCTGCCTGCTGTGCCCTCCTCCCCTGTCCCTCTGCAGCACATCCCTCGGGCAGGGCCCCGCACAGGGCACCTGCATCCAGCAGGTACCTGCAGCACAAACTGGTCGGGCTCACTCAGCTTGCCGGGGTTCTCCTTGTAGCTCTGGAAGCGCTGCACCTCCTCCCCATCCGGGGCGTAGAGCAGGAGCTGCTTGATGTGAGAGGGCTCCAGGCGGTCCGTCTCCATCGTCATCAGGATCTGGCGCAGCTCCATGTGCGAGAGCTTGAGGTGGGCGATCAGGATGGCTGCGGGGAGGGATGGGCATCAGCAGGGGGCCAGGGGCTGGGCTGCCTGGCAGGACGGAGCCAGGAGGGGAAGCAAAACCTCTCTGCGGTGCAAGAGCAGCCTGGGCTTCGTGCGCCCACACTGCCAAGGGCAGCTGTGGGAGGAGGAAGGGTTTCTGCCCCCCGAGGCCCTGCAGAGGCTGCAGGGGTGGCTCAGGAGTCACTCTTCCCTGCACTGACCCCAGCCAGGCTATTGCAAAACATTTCAAGCACATCCCCAGCGTGTCCATCTGGAAAACTGTGGGAACTGGAAACCGTGCCCAGAGCCTCCCCCACTGCCACATCGCTGCAGCCCGGGGAGCCAGGAGCTCACAGGTCCCACCCAGCCCTCCCAGTGCTCCTGCCCACCACGAGCACTGGAGATGTGGCACTGCCCCCCCTTGGTGCACGGGGCAGCCCCACACACTGCCCTTCCCCTGTCCCTTGGAGGCCAATGAGCCACATCCCATCCCGCTCCCTCGTCCCCCTGCCCGGGCTGAGCCCAGCCTGGGGGCACTCGCAGCGGCTTCTGCTGGGCTGTAAGAGCAGCCCCGGCCAGAGGAGCCGTGCTGGGACTGTGCTCCTGGGACTGTGCTCATGTAGCCTCCTTCCTGTTACCTTGCCAGTTCTCTACATCCCTGGTCCCATCTCGGGGCCCGTTTTGGGGGTACATCACCACGATGTTTACTTACATGTGTTGTAAGCCTTTTTGTGGGACAAAATTTCAACCACGTCTTTCTTTTTAAAGGTTTCAGGCAAGAGAGTTGGCTCTGGAAGAGAAACTGAGAGATTTAATCATGGGTAAGGACAGGCTCTGCCGGCTCCAGTGGGAAGAAAACTGCTGAAAACAGTGAAACCATGAATGAAAGGGAGGAGAGCTGATGCTTTGCACACAGCAATGGCTCCGGGAATCCTTGAATTCTGCGATTCAAAGATCTCCTGAATGGAGGACTCAGTAGGAGCTGAAAAAGGTAAAACAAGAGGTGAAATACACAGAAAATCCCAGACTGCCCAGAAACATCCCCGAAACAACAGCCCCTGAGAAGGGTCCCGTTTCATCCCACATCCACCACCCAACCCCTCTGAATTTGCCCTCTCCCAGCTGGACCCAGCCCACATCTGCTGTCACTGCTACACCTTACAGAGGTAGAACAAAAAAAACATTACTCGGAATGCCCTCTACGGGCAGAGAAATGTTTTCACAGCTTTTTCAGGGCTGAGTTCCCAAGCAGCAGAGCTGCAGTTTGCTCCCAGCCCGCAGCACAGCACTGCTGGGTGTCCCTGCGGGCACTGCCTGCCCGGCGCACGGGGAGCACAGCCTGTGCGCAAAGGTGCTGCAGCTTTAGGGCTCTGCTCTGCCAGAAGCCAAGCCTGTCATGGCAATGAGGAGCATTTTGGGACACGACAGCCTGAGGGCGGCCGGGCAGAGCCGACTGAGCATGAGAGCAGGAAGCAGAACGGGAGCAAAACCGTCCGGCTGAGTCCCACCGCCCAGCCCGACTGAAACGCGGAGCCACAACAGACAGCGAGCACGGACAGTGGCAGTGAGGAGGACTCAGGGAGAGTTCCACCACCTCCACCTTAACTGCTGGTCGCAGCACCCCACATGTGAACGCTGCTGCACTGCCCCGAGCCAGCACCCCACTGCCTGGGGGCTGCTCAGCCCCAAACCCACAGCCACAAACCCCCAGCCCTCCGGCTGCCACCAGCACCCGCCCCAGAGCTCCGGTACTTACTGGTTGGTTTCTGCGTCCCGAAGTGCAGCTCCAGGTCCAGGTATTTGACCATGTCACTCAGCTTGTCGTAGTCCGAGTCTTCCCCGAGCTGCAGGAGGAGAAAGAGCGGGTGGGTGGCTGCGCTGCCCCCCGGGACCGGCGGGCGCTGCCACCTGCACCGTGCCCCTTCCCTCCAATGCCACCCCGGGCTCTGAAAAGCCCAGGACACGTTGATGGCACCGTCCTTATAAGAGGAAATCCTACAGAGCAATACTGCTGCTCACCTGCTGCTGGGGCACACTTGCTGTACTAAAGGATCACGTAAGAAATCCAGAGGTTTCCGGAATTCTTCGCATCCAAAAAAATCACCAGGAAAAAACATCTCGTTCCCCAGAGTGCCTGAGCAGAGGGAGCTGCCCACAGGGATGCGGGGCTGCAGGTGCTTGCTGCACAGGCAGGAGGAGAAACACAGGGGCTGGAAGCTGAACTCCACCAAGGCCGGCTCCTCCCTACAGGGACCTGAATCCCCTCCATCACCTCAAGTCCATGAGGCCAAAGGCTCATCACACCTCACTCCTTGCCTCTGCTTTGCCCCACAGTGCTCTCGGTGCTCTCCCCAGCCGTGCTGCCACCCGTGCTCGTGGTTTCCCATTGATAAAACCTCCTGCAGCCCCCGTGCCCCCACCCGGGCCGTACCTGCCCCCAGATGGTCCCTTCTGAGTTCTCCACCTGCTCCCAGCGCAGCCTCTTGACGCTCATGTGGTTGGTCTCGCTCCTGCGGTGCAGCAGCCCCCGGTGCAGGGGGGGCGCGCAGGGCACCGGGGGGGGCGGCGGTGGGGGTGGAGGGGGCGGGATGGGGTGCAGGTGGCTGATGAGGGATTTGGGGGCGGGCGACACGCTCGCCTTGGTGGCCTCCGCCTTCGCGGGGACGGCCTGGGGGTCGTGGAACTGCAGGGGGGGCGGTGGCGGAGGGGGGCTGAGCGGAGGGGGGGGGATGTGGTCCGAGAGCGTGGAGTAGGTCAGGGAGCTGCCCTCGTCACTGCTGCTGATGTACTCGCTGCTGCTGACGTCGTTGGTGACGTAGCTGCCCTGGTCATCGTGGAAGCTCATCTGGGGGGGGGGAAGAGGGAGAGGCTGAAGGAGGCTCCTCATCCTCCATCCCCGGCCACCAGCCTCAGTGGGGTCCTGTCCCCTTCTGCCCCCCTCCCAGCCCTGGGACGTGTCCCCAGCCTGGCACGAGATGCTCCAGGCTGCCACGTGCAGGAGAGACCATGCACCAAGCCCAGCGCCACGCTCACCTCCTCGTAGTCATTCTCAGGGGTGAGGAAATCATCCACAATGGTGACCCGGTGTCCCAGCTGCTCGCTGAGGGCATCCAGGAACCGGTCGGTGTCGCGGCTGCGCGGGGGCCTGGAGAAGGTGAAGAGCTTCTTCCGCCGTGACAGCGGGCTGAGCGGGTACTGGCGGTGCCGGGGGGACGGGGCCGGGCTGCTGTCCAGGCTGACGTAGGGGTTGGACTCGGTGCTGCTCGGGGAGGGCATGCTGCTGTGCAGGCGGTAGTAGCACTGCTGGGAGGCCAGCGGGTCGCTCGGCCACGACAGTGGCACCCCCGACTTGCGGGAACCTGTGGGACAGGGCACTGCTGGGGGTCCTGCACCACTACGATCACCGGGTGAGCCCCCCTGAGCCCCCCCAGCTCTGCCTCTCTCAGGAGCCGTAGGAAGGCAGACGGTACCTGCAGTGCGCGCTGGCTCCGGGGCCGGAGGCGATGCCCTGTGCAGGGCAGCAGTGCCCATCTTGCTGGCGAAGCTGCCCAGCAGGCGGTTTTCCAGCTCTGCGTACACAGCCGACATCTGGGGAAAAGGGCAAGGAGCTGCTGGCAGTGCCCGAACTGAGACCTGGCTTGTGACCCCTCCCCAGGGACCTGCGATGTCCCGGGGCACGACGTCCAGCACAGATGTCCTTTATTCTTTAAAGGACTGCTGCACCCCAAACCTAGGCTACCCTGACTTTCTGAAGCTCCCCAGGAGCCTCCCACAAGGCTGCAAGACAAGGACAGACCCCACTGGTACTAACGCTGTACTGGTACTAACACCATGAAGGCAAAGGTCCCACGTTCCTGGGGCAAAGCGCTGCCAGGAGCCCTCCCCGCCTCCCACCCACGGGTGACAGCCGCACCATTTTGGGGTTGGGGGTCTCTGGCAGGGATGTGCCGTCCCCAGCCTGCCTCTCTCCAGGGATCAGGCGAACCGGGACCTCCACGGTGTCACTCTGACCTGCCGAAGGAAGACACAAACCCATCAGGAGCGCCCCATGCTGTGCATGCCCCCAGCAGCCCCCAACAGTCCCGACCCGTGAAGGTCTCTCCCATCCTCTGCCCACCCCTCACCCCAACCAGGCATGCAGCAAAGCCCCACGAGCTCCTGGGGCTGAGGCCCCCAGGGATGGGTGCAGGCAGCCCCCGGTGCCAGTGCCAGGGGTGCAAGTGTAAGGGGCAGGGGGTGGTTTAACGTGGCAGCAGCCACCCAGCAGTGAAACGTGGCATGTACCAGAAAACAAGCACAGCTGAGAGACAATCCTCCTGTGCTTGCCCCTTACCTCTCTGTACTCAGCTTGTCTAAATGGGAATAAATAAAATATATTTTTTGGTTACTGAAAACCCCGTGGGCTGCTGACCCTCGCAATTCACTTCTGAGCAATGGAATGGGCTGGAAACAACGTTCAGGCTCAGCCCAAGTGGCTTCGTATTGGAACTGCTTGTTTCAGCTGTTCAAAAAGCAGGGATTTCCAGACAAAGACTTTGGGCTCACCCCATCCCAACCTCCACCATTTCCCACCGTTGGTGCTCAGGGACAGGCCAGGACATCGACCTGGGGCAGAGCACTCGGGCGCAGCCCTTGGGACCCCAGCACCCCCCTCCCCACACCGGGAGCCCCGCGCGGCCCCATGCCACCCACCTGCAGCCCCCCCTTCCTCGGGGCGGGGGGTCCGAAGGCTGCCCCGGCACAGGGAGGCCCCTCGCACGGAGCTGCGGTAGCGCTCCTCTGCCTCTGGCTCGGCTGCGGCAGAGAGATGCCCGGTGAGACACGGAGAGCTGTGTAGGACCCCCCCATGGGGCTGCCCCCCAGCCGTTGGGGCACGCAGCCGCTCTGCCCCCCAGCCCAGGAGTGGGGCAGCACCAGAGCACTGCCTGCAGGAGCCGTGCTAATGAGTTAATTTGTGCGCAGCTCAGTGCGGTGGCTCAGAGGCTCAGACACAGCAGGACGAGGATACCGGAGCACCCCCGGGCTCCCTGGTATCCAACAGACTGACGGTCACACAGCCCGAAACACACCAAGGTCAGAGATAGCCACCGGGTCTGGAAGAAGCCCAGGTGAAGAACCATCCAAAATTCATGGATCTCCGGCCATCCCGCTCCCACACGTGGACACACATCATGCAAAGACCAGAACCTGGGGTGCTCACAGACTGCCCCTCGCTGCTCAGAGGCCGAAAGGAGCCAGGGAGCAGCCCGTGCACAGCGTGGTCCTGGGAGGCTCAGCACCATCCTCCTCTGTCCATGGCTGGGGACACCTGCCTGGCATCCCTGGCATGGGCTGCTGACTGCAAACACACAGACTTCCCCCCGAGATCTGCTCAAGTTTATAAACTCCATTTTTAGGGTCTTAGCTCCTAGGAATATCCAACAATTTAGGTACTTTGGGCCATGATTTTGCACACACGAAAGCAGTGGAAATCGTGCAGATTAGGTGAGCAAATACCCCTCAGTTTTCCATGGGGTATTTGCACCAGGACTGCTCAGCTGTTTCTCCCTGTGAGGGGAAAAGCTGTGCCAAAAGAACTGTGCTCTTCCAAAAGCCTCTCTGAATTCAAACACCTTCTTCACACAGTTTTACCTACACTGAGTCTAAAATAAACATAACAACAAAATGCAAACGGCCTAGAATAGAAGAATCTGAAAGCAACTCAGAAGCCCAAATCCAAAGATTAAAACGTTTCAGTCCCAATTTGCCCTCCACTTTCTGCTGTCTGAGTGCAGAGCCCGTAATCCTCACCGAGCCACGGCTGGTTTTGTGTTGCCACAGCAACGAGCGATGCTGGCAGCAGAGGCAGACCGCAGGCATCCCTCAGGGGACAGGGACAAGCGATGTCTCTGGGCGAGCTGTGCTCCTGCCACCCCTCTGGCACCGTCAGGTCGAGATACCCCCTCCTAGCCCAGCGTTACCAGCAGGTGCCCGTGCACAGCTGGCTGCTGCAGAGCTCCCCAGACACCGCTGCCATCCATCACCTGCCTCTCTTAGCCAGGCGCTGCCCCTTGGCCATCCATTCCCTTCCTAACCTCCAACCTCCTGAGCAGCCTCTGAGCCGCAGACAACCTCTGCCAGTGCACCAGCACCACCTCTCCTCTCAACCTCAGCCTGACGGTCACAGATCAAACCCTCATGGGTGCCAGGAGCCGGAGCCACACTGCACAGGGCAGCAAGGGGCAGCACCAAGCTCCCCTGGGGGCCTGCGGGACACGGCGGGGGCTCTCCTCTCACCTGCCAAGGACTTGTAACCAAGAAACCTGGCAATCTTTTGCTGGCAGTGCTCCTGCTCTTCGTACGTCAGCAGCTGGTAGATAAACTGCCAAATGACTTGCTTGGCTGGTGTGTCTAGCACCGGGTACACATCCACAATGAGAGTGTCAATATTCCTGCAAGATTGGAAAGAGAGGGGCCAGGCAGTGAGCACGTCCTGAGCTGCACAGCCCCAGCACACGGCTCTGTGCTGCCCGGCCTCTCGGTGTGAGCACACCGCGTCAGCTCCACGCAGAGCTGCCAGCGAGGGACAGAGCCCTTCAGGGCGAGATGTCAGGGACGTGGAGCTGTGCAGGTGGTGCTAATGCACAGAGAGCTCCTGGGCCCAGCAGCACCTGGCAGCCAGGCTATAAAACCTGGTTCACGAGGCAGGCTAGGCTCTGGGGGAGCTGCCTGGAGGAGCCCCAGAAGGCAGAGATGCTCTGGCAAGGTGCTGATGGCAGCAGGTAGGAGCGTGCTGGAGAGGAGGGCTGGGCTGAAGGCTCTGCTTCGTGTTGGCTCTGTGGTGGTGGAGGTGGTGGAAGGGCTGTTGAGAACACCAGGGCTGAGCACCCTAAAGGATAAGGCAGCCCAGGGAAAGGAGGGATGCCTCAGGAAGAGCTGCCTCCTGAGAGCTGAGGTCAGGCTGCTCCTCTGCTGAGAAGCTGAGGTGGGGATCTGAGGCCAAAGCTTCCTGCAACTGCTGCATCCTGCTTGTAAAAGCAACAGCAAGAACTTCTTATAAAGAACTGGAAGGAGACTCTGTATTTAGAACAGATCTGTTGTCTTGATATTAACCCCATGGAGCATCCCTGTCCTCTAATGAGCAGGGACCAGGTCCATGAGGGAGAGCTGAGGGGGGAAAGGGGTTATTTTGCTGCTCTCTAGCTCTGTGCTGCTTTGATTTTTCTGTGGAGCTGGGCTCAGCTCCTGGCTGCCAGCAGCCTGTTCCCCACTGGGATGTTGGTATTTTGGAGGTGCTGCAGGGACAGGTGCTGCTGTGCCCTCTGGGCTCGCTGTTCTCCCAGTTTGTGGGCAGGCTGAGCTGGCCCCAGCCCAGCTGTGGGTGTCCTGCTCCCTCCTGTGCTCACAGCTGGGAAATGCTGCTGCCTGCTTGCTGAGCCTGCGGGAAACATAAGCTTAATATTTGGGGATTTCTGCCTTTCTCAGGGCAGTTACAGGTCACAGATAGCTCACCTGGGGCAAACACACAATTAGCTGGTGATGAATTATCGTGAAATGGGGCAGCTACAGGTGAGACAAACTCCTCAGGAGAAGGAGCCCATGCCCCTTGTGCAGCCATGGGGCAGATGAAGGTGATGGCCCTGCTGAGGGGGAGCTGCCTGGCTCTGTTCACAGGACTCAGGTTCCCACCCTGGTGCTGCAGAGCCCTGCTCAGGTCTGCCTTTCCCAGCTGCAGACCCTGGTGCCCTGCAGCTGTTCTCACACAAATGCCCACTGGGGGAATCCCGCAGAAGCAGAGCGGTCTCAGAAGAGCTCACAGCAATGACTTCTGCTTTATTGTGGTGGAGGTAGTGACTATGGGCCTCAGGAGGGTTTGCTCAGCTGCTGGGGGGGGATTCCAGCAGCTGTGCCTCCCTCAGCACCTGCAGGCTGGTGGGCAGCACAGGGCTCTGGTCGCATTGTGGTGGTGCAGCCCTAGTGATGCTGCTGGGAGCTTGTCTATTGCTGCCAGTGACCTAAACACAGAGGGGTTTGTTGCATTTCCTTGTAAAACTGAGGATTCAGATCCTTATCTGACTTTATGAAGCAGAATGCTGCGTGAAGGCAGCAGGAGCCTGCCTGGCTCTGCCTGGTGCTTCCCCAGCCTGTGGTGGGGCAGTGAGCACCTCCCAGCACCCTGAGCAGTGGCTTCTGCACCGCTGTGCAGGAAGATTAAAGACCAAGGGCAGAAAACAAGGTCACTACGGCAAGCCTGGATGCTGCCCAGGGATGGGTTTCAGCCCCGCAGCAGGACAAGGAGGACGCGTGCAGCTACAGGGTGAGGGCTGTGCAGCTGTCCTGCTGCAGCCAAAATGCTGGGAAGAGCAAGGAGCTGGGAAAGGAGCGTGGTGAGATTACTGCCAGAGGCAGCAGGAGAGCCTGTGCTGTGGGAGACAAGGTCACCTTATGGTGGGGAGGGGAAAGGGAGATGGAACTGACCTCCAAAGCTAATGCATCTGACTGCCAGGACACCTGGCAAGAGATGGGCTCAGCCTCAGCTCCTTCCCTGAGGGAAATGCACAGCTGGAGAGAGGGATCAGAGCTTGCTGCTGACAGCCTGCGAGGCTGAGGTCTGACCCTGACGTGGGCATCGCTACCTGTCCTGTTGGCAGAGTTAGAGGAATGGGGCTGCTGCCGAGTTACCGATGTTGGAAGAAGCTTTCCAGGGCTTTGCAGATGGTATAGCGCTCAGGTGGGGTGAGCAGGTGCTCCAGCTGCTGGTGGAAGGTCCTCCCTTGAATCTTGATGCTAGAGGGGAGAATCTCTGCGACCCACTGCAGGGAGGTGAGCGCGGAGGAGGCGGTCGGGGAGTCAGCAGAGTCAGAGTCTGCAAGGTGCAGGTAGAGAGAAAAGAGAGTTCAACAGAGCAAGGGGCTGGAGTGGGGCCACAGGATGAGCCCTGCAGCAGCCCTGTCTGCTGGGCAGGGAGTGAGAAGGGTGCAGCTGGGGCTGTTCTGTGCCTCCCAGCTGGAAAACCACACAGGCTGTGGAGCCACAGTGCTGTAACCCACCTCTGGGTGCCCTGCAGGCCTCTGGCCTCCCTCCTGAATGCAGCATCTGGGCCCCGCAGGGTCCCTTTGGTCTTGCTGCGGTCTTTCAGGCTGATGCCTGTGTCCCCAGACCACTCACACCCTGCTCCACCTCCTGCTTTTCCCAGAGCATGAGCACCTCACTCCGTGGAAATACACAGCCTGATGCACACATTGCTGCACCGGGGGGAATCAAACAGGTTTTGGTCTCTGGATGGCTGATAAAAGGCTGCTTTCTGGCCAGCCTGGAGCAGGGGCTGCCCTTGCCTTTGTCCTGAGCCATGGGGAGCTGGGCTGGCTGCTCCTGAGCTCCCGGCTGTGCCAGCAGGCCCAGCAACCTGCCCTGAATGGGCAGGGATGTTCTGCCTGGGCTGCTCCCCAGGAGCACTTTGGTCAGGCTGCTTCTGCATTTGCCTGGGAACACACGGGTGGCATTCCCTCTCTTGCTCTCCAAAGCCTGTGCTCAAACTTTGAGGCACTTCACGATAATCACTGACTTCAGGGGCAGCACCAGTCAAGTGCTACCTGCAAGCAAGCTGAGGCAGGGCATGCTTTGGTGTGCATTTCACATGCTGAGCCTGGAGCAGTGCGGGGTGATGTCCCCAGCTGGGAGGGGGACCTGGCCAAGCTCTGGGGTGTGCTTGAATGTGGGAATGTGGCCAGGGCTCCGGGGGCAGAAATCCCATCCTGTCTCAGTTTCTTTCAAGGGGCTGAGTGCTGCTGGCCCTACTGATGAGCAGCGAAGGTCTTGCTTTTGTTTCTAGGGCGCGTGCAATCAGGTTGGTAGCACAGGGCTGCCAATGTGGAGCTGGGGGGAGTCTGTCACTGCTCTGGCTGGACGAGCCACTCACTAACTCCTGCACTGCAGAGCAGCACCCCAATAACGCACTGACCCTGCTGCCTTCACCCTGCTCTGGAACCAGCACAGCAAGCCCCGCCCTGAGCTGTGGTGCTGAAATCACTGACAAATACCCGCATCACCCCCAGCCACCCTCCTCCTGCTGACACGCTCACCAGCAGTGAGCTAAATTATTCACAGCAGCAGCAGTTCTGAACAGCACAGCCCGTGCACAACCGCGGTATTTGCACAGCGACCATGGATGCACGGGGTTGGGTTACTTCAGCCAAGTAGACGGCACAGACTGCATGTGGAGGACGTGAGACAGGGCTGTCAAGGACAATCACACAGTACACTGAGCCTTCTGGACGGCAGCCAGGCTGGGGATTAAGCCTGACCCCAGAAAGCCAGCAGCCTCCTGCCCCAGGCTGGAGGCAGTGCCTGCAGCGTGCTGAGCCCATGAGGGTGTGTGGTGCTTCCCTGCTGACATGGCAAGTTTGGGAGCCCTCAGATTTGGGATTCCTGTTAGCTCCGGACCCCTCCTGGCCGGCACGCTTACCGTTGGAGAAGTTGACGATCCCCTCCTCCACCACCAAGGTGGGCATCGCCCCGCTGCCCTGCAGCATCGACACCACCTTGTCGTGGGAGCAGTTCCTGCGGGGCACAGGAGAGCCGGTCAGAGCTGCCCTCCTCTGCCAAACAGCCCCGGCTGGCTGCTGGCAGCCCCTGCTGCCCTGGCTGCGGTCTCCCTGGGCTCTCCATCCTTGCCTGGCTCCAGCTGTGCTGATCAGAGGGGCAGCGTGAATCACACCGTGATGCTCCGGGTGTGCCCGCAGCAAGGAGTCAGCGCGTGCCAGCACCTCCCAGAGCTGTTGTGCTACGTGAAGCCAGTGTGACTTCAAGCTATGCTCAGACCCAGCAGATAACTCTTCATTTAAATGGTACTGCTGTGGTCTCTGCTTGTCCGTGTTCTGCGTGGAGAGAAAATGTGAGCTGGGTGTGAAGGGCACAGGCTGACCCAGGACGGTGCCTGCCAAAATGTGGGCTCAGAGGACGATCTTCAGCTGGGTCTCCTCTGTGTTCTGGCAGTGCTGCATCAGCCAGCAGTTTGCTGGATCAGCCGAAATGTGAGAACTGAAGCACTGACAGAAGCATCAGATGTTTAACCTTTAAATATTCATCGCTCTCTCTTATCACGTAGCCTGCTCTAACCCTTTGCTCTTGCTTTTTGTGCAGAAAGTCCAAGCTGGTGAAATACGGGCTGCTGCCACTGCACTGCTGAGGTAAAAGGAAGAGCAGGGCTGGAGCTGAAATGCTCCTCTTAGAGCCAGTTTTATAAAAAATATTACAGGAGATGTCCTTATGGGGCAAAAACTCTCATGGCCACCCAGCTCTGGTCTCTGTCACACAAAGGTGAACAAGGAACACAACCGTGCTGCCCCCCTGCCACTGCCCAGAGTCCCCCCGATCCCAGGGGCTTTAAGGAGCCTCTTACCTCATGTCCAGGCCGTTGAGAAATAGGATTCGGTCTCCAGCTTTGAGCGCAGCCTTCTCAGCTGGGCTCCCTGCATATCAAGGGAAGGAGAGGGGCTTCAGCTGATGGGCCCCTGCCCGCTGGGCTCAGTGATGCCAGCACCCAGCTTGCACTCAAAAGCAGGTGTGGTTTCAGACTACTCACTAAATACGCCTTCTACCCCTCAAAACAGGGAGTGCATAAAACCAAGATAAATCCTACCAAAGTTATTAATTATTCAACTTGGGAAGCTCCACCACTGAGCCTTGTCAAAGTCCCTTCTGCTATTTTCTAGCAAACGAACACTTTAAAATTTCACATTCAGCCCAGGGCTAGGTCTCTGCCTCCTGAGGCCGGCAGCTTTTCTTACCTGGCAGGACAGACTCGATCCACACTGGTGCATGTCCACGTAACGTGAAGCCGAAGCTTTTGTTGCCTTTATAAACCCGCACGGTTCTGCAGGTGAAAAAGCAAATGAGACATCAGAGCCTGACAAGCGTTTGGTTGTTCCCTTCCCCAGCCCCACCAGAGCCCCCTTTCCTGGACCCTCCCTGGGAGGATTCCCCAGCTCTGCTGACAGTCCCAGTCCCGCTCTGTCTGCCTTGGATCTGGGGCTGGGAGCAGAGCAGGGCAGCACCAGGGCAGCTCGGTGCTCCAGGGCTGCCGAGCTCTGGCCATATGGGCAGCGGGAAGTGGGTTAATCCCTTGTGCACCACTGTCCTCCCCTCCTCCTGCTGCTGTGGCACCCAGACACCATCAGGGCATGGTGACATCCTGCTGTGTGCCTGGGCATCGTGGCCCATCAGCAGGGCTGAGCATCCTGCATCCAGCACGGCCAGGTGTCCTGCATCCCTCCCAGCACCCACCCAGCACACCACCAAGCACTGTGAGCTCAAGGGCACCCAGGGGAGGTGTTACCTGCGGGCAGCCCCCGAGGGCACATTGCTGGTGATGAGCGAGGTGCTTTTCCGCAGGCTCCTGCTGGCCTCCTCGTGGCTGCGGGGCACGGAGCTGGCGCGGGTGGACACGAGGAGCCGCTCCTGGTGGTCCTCGCTCCGGCTGCGCCGCAGCCGGTTGCTGTGCTGCTGGCTCTTGGAGCGGCACAGCTTGCTGATCAGGCTCTGCGACACCACCTCGTCAAAGCGCTGCCGGTGCTTCTTGGGGATGAAAATCCTGGCAGACAGGACAAGGGAAGGGGTGAGGATTGGGGTCGAGGTGGCCGTGGCACAGAGCTCTGGATCCTGCTCTATCAGGGAAAGGAGAGGCCAGAGCAGCACCGGCCCCTGTGTGCTGTCAGCCTCAGCCCTCCCCAGAGCTGTGAGCACCAGGGCGCAGGGCTGGGGACACCAGGGACGTCAGGAACAGAGGGAACCCTGGGGACACCAGGGATGCTGGCTGCATCTCCTGCTCTGTCCCATGCACGGCTCCATCAGGGTGAGGAATTCAGAGCCCTCCACTTGCAGAGACCAACTCAAACAGCTCCGTTCCTCCTTGTGTCCCATCCCAGACCTCTTCAAGCCACTGGCCCTGGTATGCCACCAAGGCTTAAATGAACTGTTTTTCCCCCAACTGCAGCTCAGGAGCCAGTCCTATGGGGGAAAATCTCGCTCTGTGGAGCGTGTCCTGCTGCAAACCTCGCTGCTGCCGAGGGCTGTGGCTCCCAAGGTGGCTCTGAGCAGTGTTTGGAGGGGATGGGATGGGTGGTGTTAGCAAAAGCAGAATGAGACTCTCTGCCCTCCTCTGGGTCCTCTCCCTGTCCCTGCTGTCCAGGGGGACAAACCCTGCACAAGAGCCCCCAGAACACCTCCAGACCCAGCCTCTTTGCCAGGACCCACACGGTGCCACTGCCCATCTCCTGCCCATGCCCTCTGCTGAAAGCCCTGCAGCTTTCGCTCCAGGCTGTGGCACTCCTCCCGTGCTTGTTGCAACAGGGGGAGATGCTTTGTTTTTCCTTTCTCTTTTTTTTCCTCTTGCCATCACAGCCGCCAAACACCAACACCTCATTCACCTCCTCCCACCCTTTCCGTTTGCACATTTGGGGGCTCTTTGAGGAGGTGTTATCGTTATCTCCTGGTGTTTCTATAGCAACTCCGTGCGCTGTGCCCAGGCTGTGGCTGCTGCAGCTGCACTCGCTCGCCAGACGCCGCCTCGTGCCCCTCGTTACCTCCAGAGGTAACAAGGAGGTAGCCCCTCTGATGCTCCAGAGGGGCTCCTGGGCATCACCTCCAAAGGAACCTGAAAGCCTGGATGAAGCTGGAGGAGAGGAGACCTCCGAGCCCAGCCCTCGGACCAGGAGGTCTCCATTTGCCTCCTGAGGACAGGCAGAGCTCAGAGCAGCTCGTGCCCTCCCGCTGAGCCACAGCAGGCAGATTGCAGCTGGGCCCGATGCTGACATATGCTCGCACGAAGCATTTGGTGATAATTTAAAATAAGTAACACGTTGGTACAATTCACAGTCAATTTGTGATGAAGCAGCAACTAGAAAAGAGCGAAACCGCGCTAATGAACCGTTCCCCCAGCTGCACGCAGGCGTCTGCGGCCCCGTGGCAGGGAGGAGGCGAGCACCGGGCAGCAGCGGGGCCGGGCTGCGCTCCCCTCCCGTGGGGAAAGGGCCCGAGCCCCTCGCAGGCAAAACAAGCACGGTCTCATTTCATTTGGCCAAATTAGCTCGGTCCCACTGCTGTCAGCAGGACCGTCCCACTTTGCACTGACGGCTACCTCACGAAAGGAGCTGAGGAGCAAGGTACAGCTGGCTTGTAGCAGGCACAAAGACATTTCTCTATGGATTGGCTCAGTGTTCAAAGTAAAACTGCGTGTTAGAATGGAGAGGAGCAAAACGACTGGTAAAAATAATCCTATTAGAGCACGCAAATGATTTTCCTCCTGCGAAACCTTTTGCAGAGAATTTCCAGAGCGGCCTCGGGGAGTGCAGAACGGCCACGGCGCTGCTGGGGGACCTGCAGGGCAGTGCTTTTGTGTTTTGGCTGGCCTGAGAAATTGAGTGTGCTCAGATCTGCTCCTTAACGAGCAGCACACCAACAAGGCAGCGCAGGGCATGGAGCTGGCCTGATGCTGCTGCAGCTCCAGCGCAATGCACCCACGCAGCACACACCGACACCAGCACCAGCACCAAAACCAGCACCAACACCAGCACCAGGGCGGATGGTGCCCAGCACTTCATGGGAAACCACAGCTGCCCCGTGATGCCCGGCCATCCCCAGGATCAGCCCTGCCCAGCACCCGGCTGGGTTCCCTCTCTCCAGAAGGGATGCTGTGGCAGGGCTCTCCCCGCAAGCAGCTGGGTACCTGACAGCCCAGCAGCCCCACAGTGCTGGGGAGCCAGGCAACGCCGGCCTCGCACCTTCATCTTCCTCCCTCTCCTCTTCCTCGTGTGCCCCATGTCGGCTGCATTCCCTGTCAGAGTGGGGCTGGGAAAGGTGTTCCCAGCCCTGGCCACAGTGGCCCTGCACCCACTGCCCGGCCCTGCAGAGCCCCAGCGCACTGACAGCCCCCTCCTCTGAGGAGTACCAGGACACGTTCTTCAACAGCACTCAGTCTGCACCAGCACCAATATGAATCCAGGGCATTTTCCAGGCCAGGAGAGGTCCCCGAGCGCTGCGAGTTGCTGCATGCTCCCACGGGGCTGGGAAATGCGGCCGGCAGAAGCCCGCCTGCCCTGCCCCGTCACAGCTCTCCGCCCTGAGGCTCACTTCAGCAGAAGGTGGTCAGCACGTCTCAGTCTTTGTCCACTCCTTTTAAAACTCACAGACAGGTCATTTGTAGCTTATCTCCTCGCGGATATTCCTCTTTCCTCAGCTGGCACTTGCTAAGGGTTTCCTCTTTCCCCCGCCAGCCCAGGGGCCTCCCCCTGCCCAGTGCTGGTGCTGTGCCGCGCTCTGCAGGACCCACAGCTCCCACCACCTCCCCGGGGACCGGCCGTGGTGCCCAGCCACGAGGTCTCCCTGCTCCGTGCCCCTTCCCACCCCGGCACCAGGCAGCACCCCAAACCAGCCTGCTGGTGGGCTACGGGCACGGAGCCACAGCAGACCCAGAAGAGCTCTTCCCACCTCCCCAGCCCCAATTTTCGCTTGAGCGTTGCCCGACTCCCCCAGCTCCCCGCACCACAGCCGTGGGGGCGCAGGATCTGGCCAGGCCAAGGCAATGCTGGCAGCCGTGGTGCCCTCGCTGGCCATGCCCTGCCACGCATGAGGGAACGGCAGCAGAGACATCGTGGGGATGCCCACGGGAGCACCAGCCCTGCCCGGTAAATCTAACCCCGGGCATCGCACGCGGAGGAGCAGAGCAGAAACGTACCGAAAATGCCGAGAGAAACTCCGGTCCTTTCCCATTTGTCCAGGTGCGTCGGGAACAAAAGGGAGACGCTTCAGCTCCTCATGCAGCTGAGATTCAGCCTCCGCTCACGCCCACGACGCGGCTCCAGCAGCCGATCGGTGCCAGCGGGGCCCTGCCCTGGCACCCCGCGGTGCGGGGAGCGCGGCCAGATGGGCGGCCAGCAGCGCCTGGGCTGCCTGCCCTCACCTCGCCTCCCAGCGCCGGGGTTACCACGCGCCGCGTCCTCCTCCTGTTTTATCAGTTCTGCTTTAGTGTCTGCTTTGCCTTCCCTTCTCCCCAGCACACAGCTCTGCCCCGAAATTCGGCTGCGAAGCCTTTTGCTTTCCCTAAAACTGCAGCCGCTGTAATTTCCAGCTGGAACTCTCTGGTAAGGATGCTGCACAGAAAGGAGGGCACGGCTCCACGCCGAACTCCAGGGGGATGCCTCGCTGGTGCTAATTAGTTGACTTCTAAAGTGCTTCTGTTTAAATTACATGCCGCTGTAATGGGTGAGAAACCTTAAAGGAAAACAGCAACGGCACGGGTGCGGCGCTGCTCGTGCACGGTGGAGCCACCGCGGCCACCGCGGCCACCGGCTCCAGCCCTGGCTCGTGGGGTCACCAACAGCAGGGCCAGGACCCGACCTCAGCTTTCTGCCTTCATGGGCCCAAAGCTGTGCTGGGGGGCATCATTCACCCCCATCATTCACCCCCAGGGTGACGCAGCCGCGCATTGCATTAGGGATAGAAGATAAAAAAACACAACTTTTTTTTTTTATATAATGCTGCCTTTAAACACAGCACTGCCCTTTGATAACGAGGATGTGAAGCTTCCCAGAGCTGCAGAAATAAGACACGATCTCCAGGCAGCAAAGCAAAGAAAAATGAAAAATGTATGGTTTAGCCCCAAAACAGCCATCAAAGGCCTGACCTTGAGTCTGTCGCTTGTGCAGAAAACACATCCCAGGGTGGATTAAAACACTGAGCTACATTTGGATTATGTCTAAATTATGCCGTATAAACAGCTGCCAAGCTGGAAAAACACTTCTGCCCCGATAACAAGCTGCAATGCTAAATTTCACACGCTTCTGTGATAGAAAATTCTTCACCCATACAGTAAGGAACTGCACAGATCTCAGATCTGATCTGCTTTTCCCTGCCTGGATTCCCCTACGGACACCTCTGCGGAGTGTAGCCGGGCTCTGGGCACTCGTCCCATGGTGTGACAGTGGGGACGGGCAGGGCCGTGCTGGCAGCCCCGCGCTGCCCTCCAGCCCCATGGGGACACAGCCACAGCACCAGCGGCACTCGCAGGTGGAGGGCGCAGACCTCTGGTTTTCCCAGCGGGTTCTCCATGCAGGCAGAGCTCCCATCCCACCCCTCGCAACGGAAGGCTCAGTAATCCTTCATCTGGCCGCAGCTGTTTTGCAGAGGTGCCCGCTGCTGCTCCCATGGACCAGGACTGGCGGCGCTCCTCCACCCAGCAGCGCAGACGCAGAGCCCACCACATCCCTTCCCAGCCCCCGGTTGGGGACCCCCTGCATGCCCTGAGCGAGATGCTGTCAAGAACCCCCCGGTCACCTTCCCCTGCCAGCCTCGTGCCTGCACCATGCAGGGTTTTTTTGTTTGTTTGTTTTTGTAAGCTGTTCAGCGTGGGGACACCAGGACAAATGCAGTTTCTCATGTTTAAGACATGAGAAACCCCTCAGCCCAGGCAACTGCTTTCCGAAATCAAAGTTGGAAATCAGTGTTGGTGTGAAAGCAGGCTCTGCTGATAAAATCTGCATTACAGCAGCAGCTTGATTTGTCAAACCAAATTAATCCCATAACAGATTTTGCACCGAGGCATTTTGGTCATGACCTATTTGAACTCAGCTGCAATAAAAGGAACTTCGCTCCCAACTGCTTTCACTGCTGGCACGTTTTTTTTTTTTTTCCTGCTGCCCTAATTCCTTTTTTGGGCCATTTAGCATACGTCTGGCTGTAAGATTAGTGATTTTTTATAACGGAAGCAAACCAGAGCGGCTTTTCCTCCGTTATCGTCCTGCTGCCCACACGGCCGTGCAGTGGCCCTGCCCAGAGCCCGGGGCAGCAGCTCGACGCAGCGGGGTCGGCATCGCCCGTGCCTCACCCGAGCTGCACTTCCAGCCCCAGCGAGGAGGAAAGCTTTCCCCAAAGCCTGCAGGCAGGGAGACGTGGGGAGGGGGGCAGGCAGGGGAGCAGCGCGATCTATCCTGTATAAATCCTGATGAAATGAAATTTCTTATCCAGAGAAAGTCACAGATGGCTGGTGCATTTTAATGCGGGGCCATGCCAAGCGATTTTATTGCCGTGAAAAACAAGCCGAGACAAATAGATTGTTTGGAGCATTATTAAAATGAAGGCGGTGGGATTTCTCCCGTGATAAGGGAACCCCCGTTGGGCAGCGATTTTATCTTTGTCAGGGATCAGAAGCGGCTGCAATCACAAGTGAGCTCGCTGCAGCTCAGCCCCCGTGCGGCCCCTGCGGCAGCGGGGACACCTCTGGTCCCTGCCTTGGCTCCCAAATCGAGCAGGGGCAGTTGCAAAGGCAGCGTGCTGCAGCCGAAGAAGGGAAGGGACAAACTACAGCTGACCGTGTTCTCCTTGCAGCAGAGTGAAGCACAACAAATGACCCAAAGGAGACCCACGACAACCCCTAACAGCCCAAACAACCAGAGCTGCCTCCCGATGAGTTAACACACCCTGGACCTCAGCGCACCCCACTGATCACATCCAGGTTAACGGCACGGTGCCTGCACACGGGGCATCCGCGCTGGTGGTCAGTGCACGAGCTTTTGTCACGCTAAAGGTCAACGGGGAGAGAGGAGATCTGTGTGGTTTCCATCACCCCACAGATCTGATGTTTCAACCAAAACAACACCGGTATGGGGACGGATGCTGCTGGGGGGCAGCACAAAGGGAGGCAGGGACCGGTACGCGGTGTGTCACGAGCTCTAAGCCTCACTGAAACGCAGGCGAGGCTCTGTCTGCACCACTTGCCTCCAAGTGGCCCGGGGCCACTTTGTCCCCCGAGCCCCGGGACAAGCCCTGGGCACTGCTCGGTGCAGAGCTGATGCGATCCCTCTGCCGGAGCCGCAGCTCTGCCCTGGCTGAGACATCTCCAAAGGAGAGCAGTGCCGCGAGGTGCACACCCCCGGGATCCCCCTGCCCCACGCCACCCACCGGCCCCTTCCCCTCCCGGCACGCTGCAGCCCTGCACACGCAGGGAGCGGAGCCGCCAAACCAGGACACGGGACACGACCCCGGCTCTGGCACTCGCAGGCGATGGAGGCACAAAAAAACGAGAGATTTCCCTCTCCCCCGGCCGGCAGAGTTGTGATGCCCACAGAGCCTCTGGCGGCAGCAGCTCGGATGCAATCCGGACGCGAAGAGTTAATTAACTTTTCACACATCTCGTTTTTGCGGAGCCAGGGGTTGCTCGGTCTGAGAATTAAGCTGCTTTAAAAGCATTCCCCTCCCAGCCCCCTCGGGTCCCGGGGAAGGTCTGTTCGGTACTTACCCGAGACAGCTCATCTTTCCCCCTCGCTGCTGCTTTTCATCATTCCTGAGCAGAACTACAACTGTGCACTTTTACTACACGGACCAACCATATGGGCAGGGGATCTGAGCGCAGGGAGGAACTGGCGCAGCACGTGCATTATCCCTGCTATCCACAACCCAACGGATGAAGAAAATGTCAGCAAATTAAAATCTGCAGGAGCTTAATTCTGGGCAAATAGGATGGAATCCATTTGAGCTAAACGGAAAGAAAAAAAAAAAAAAAAAACTCGAAAAAGCCCAGCCTGAGGACAGCCGGAGGAGGAGCGCTGTCTGCAGCCCCGGTCCCTGCGAGGGCGAGCTCTGAGCTTTTTGTGCTGAGCCCCGGGGTCTTGGGTTACGCTGCACAGCAGCACCGCGCGGGGAGCACTGGGGGAGCCTGGGCAGGGGCACGGGAAGGAGGAGAGTGGCAGCAGCCCAGAACTAAACACAGCTGGTGCAGGGGGAAGATCCAGCCAGGCCAGCACCAGGACAGCGGTGGATGAGGATGTGCCATCTGCCTGGCTCTGCATGGCACATGGTCACCCACAGTGGGACACTGCCACTGCCACCACCACACACCACAGAGCGCTGGGGACCCCGGCATCACCCCCAGCACTTCCCCAGCCCCTGCCACTGGCACTGCCCTCGCCTGCCCCACACTCGTGGGAAGGGCTCGTCCTGGTGCATGGGTGCACAGCGCTGCCTGCCCTGCTTCTGGGTGTAGCCGTGGGCAGGATTGGGCTTTGCACAGCCACAGGGGCCTGGGGCTGCTCTGCCGGGGGGCTGAGCCTGAGCCCCACAACCCAGCCCCTTTCCCAGTTGGGAAATAACCCAAATGAAATCACAGCCCTACACACCCGGCGCCTACGGGAGTCTCTCACCACCTTTTGGTGAGTTATTAAAAGCATTAAAAGCTCTTGCTCAGCAGCAAACCTGTTCGGTGACAGAGTTAAGCAGCTCATGTTATGCCCAAGCAGCAAACACGCAGCTGTGTGTGCCTCCCACCCGCACATCCTCAGCTGGGAAACCTGGTTTCCAAAGCAACTTTTTTTTTTTTATTTTTTCCCTTGAATTCATTTCATTAAGATTAGAGGGTAAATCTTTTCCGTAAGCTACGTATTTCATTTCCATTAAACTGAGATTAGCTGCCTGATTTCCTGAGCGCGCTGCCCCAGCCCTGGCACTAACCTCTTGCAGAGGGTGCAGGGCAGGGACAGGGACGGCAGCACCGGGTCTGGCCGTGCCCTCAGCCACTCACCTGGGAGCACTGGGTCAGGGACACCCCAGGAGGAAACCGGCTGTGCCCCCCGCAGAGGGGCTCAGGTCTGCAGGGAAATTTAGATACTTATTCAAACACTTTCTGTGGGGAAAAAATAAGCCATATAACCGCCCAGCTGACAGTGCCCAGCGCCTCCAGCTCTGCCGGGCTCCCCACAGCCAGGCTACCTTGGCTGGGGTCTGAGCAGGGGGTGCCAAGGGGCTCCTGGTGCCGGGGGCTGGGGGTGCCCCGTGGCAGAGCCCTGGGGAGCAGGGAGCACTGTGGGCCATGGCACCCACCTGCTCCCCCCACCCTCCCCTCCACGGGACCTCGGCAAGCGTGGTGAGACCCCAGCACGGGGCCGTTGTTATGGTAACTGTAATATCTTGCAATTCCACTGATTAAAGCAGGAATTGGAAAGCCAGACCCGGAGCGGGGCCAGATGGAGACCTGATTCCCTAATGGCCATCGTCTCAGCCTGGCCGTAATCCCCACCACGTGCCCGCGCACCGGCACCAGCCCTGTCCCCATCCCGCGCCACTTGGCCGTGACAAGAGCAGCACAACAGCTGCGGCGGCTGCACACCCACCCACGGCTGTTCTGCAGGGAAAAAAGGGGTGCTGGGGACCCCGAGCTGAGCACTGCCAGCACGCACAGCCTGAGACCCTGTAGGCAGCGCTCGCCCCGAGGCAGCCCCAGCCCCACGCGGAGCCTCAGCCACCGGCAGCTCTCTAATTGCAGAGCCTGGTTTATTTTCTGGCCCGGCTCCTGGATAACCACCAGCCATTCTGCACCTAATTTGAAATGACATCCAGAAAAATGAGCCACGTCCCGCGTGGCGGGGGCAGCTGGTGACTCGGTGGGCACTGCTCCCTGCAGGGATGGGGATGGCCGGGCAGCCGGGGGTGCCCCCATCCCGCGGGCAGTGAGTGCTGCTGCGCCGTGCTGCTTGTCACCAACAGGCAGACCCCCAGGGGTTAACCACCAGTGCGGCAGGACGGGGGCTCCGGGCAGCCCGTACCTGATGCTGTCGATGAGCTGCTGGTGGGACTCCTGCGTGAGCACCATGCAGAGGGCAGAGGCCAGGCACTCCACCTTGCGCTCCGCCGCGTACTGCTTCAGCACGGTGAACACCTTCTCCTTGAGCTCCGGCTGCTCCCCCAGGATGTCGTCCACCTGCAGCACAGGAGCAGGAGCAAAGGGGAAGGGGCGCTGAGCAGCAAGGTTAAGTGTGGTACAGAGGCACACACAGCACAGAAATGGGTCTGTCTAGGGGCAGCACCCTGCTGGCCAGGGGGATCAGCCTGGGGCACCCGCAGTGTGCCAAGAGAGGTGCCCATGCCTCTGGCCCCACCGTGGTGTTGCCCATAACTCTTAGAGGCTGTGGGGATGTGGGCAGAGAGGATTCAGGCGTGAGCATTGGCCATGGAATGGGCCTCGGCAGCTCCCAGGTGGGGAGGAGAGGAGCTCATTGCAGTCCCCTGTGCTGCGGAGCAGCCGGCATTTCAAGGTTACGGAATCTGGGGCGGTAGCGGCAGCTGCCTCCCCACGGACGGCTTTGCACGCTTTTGTCTTTGGATCCAGCACAGAGATGACAAAGAATGTGGTGTTTTGGAGAGCTCGATCCCAGGCCACTTCCACTGAGCTCCCCCTGGGCTGGGGCTGAGGGGCTCGCTGCGGCAGGAACCGGGGCAGCGCTGCCCCCGCTCGTGTCAGCACCATGCCCAGCATGTCCCTGAGCATGCAGGGAACAAAGGGAAACGACCCAAACCGAGACCACAAGCACCTTTATTGCCTCTGGTGATAGCCCCAAGCAATGCTTGGCGTGGGCAGCCCAGCTCCAGCCCTTTTATGAGCACCATACACCCTGCCCCGGGCACTAACAGAACAGGAGCCCTGCTGGATGTAGGAGGGTGATGAAAACCTCCATTCCCCAGGCTTGTGAGCGACCTGCAAGCAGTGCATGCACGAAATGTGAGCCCTGGCACCCTCTGACCCCCATCCATGCCAGGAGGATGGTGTCGCTTGGGTACTGCCCTGTGCTGCCTCCAGTGCCAGCACCAGAGGCACCTACCAGAGCAGAGCCTGCAGGGCAATGAGGGGGAGGCACCCCCCAAATTCTATTATTTTCTGCATCACATAAAAATGAAGCCGCTTGAAACATCTGAGCCACCGAGTCCCTCCGGAACGCTGCCTGCCATCCCGGCTGTGCTCCAGCAGCACGCGTGGCTCCGCACCTGCTTCTGCCCTGCCTGTGGGGACACTGTGGCCCTGCGCTGGCCGTGCCCGGCAGGACTGGGCAGCAGGGCACTGCTGAGGGGTGTGCGCAGCACGGCCAGCCTGGTCCCCACCACGCCACTGGGGGCTGCTGCAGCTGGCAGGGAAAAGGTGCCTGCAGCACCACCAGTTCGCTGGCTTCAAAAGTGCTCCCCTGTGATCAGCCAAGAAACGTTTACGTGGATTAATGTGGCCCCGCTAGAGGGAGGCAGCGTGGAACAGCCTCTCCCCCACTCATTAATCTCCTGTAATCAGCGGGTATCTGTTTCACACGCGGTGCTCTACCTTAGGATCCAAACCTCAACGCCTGTTTGTGAATGTTTAATTTAAAAGCTGGCAGAGGGGGATTCGGCTGATACCCACGAATCTCTTTATGAATGCCTTGTTCCTCTATTAGCTTGGGATCAAAAAATACAAGCTTGGTTATTTTCATAACAGTATTTTAAAAGGCTACTTTGAAATGGAAATTAGAAAGACTAAAAGACAACCACGATCAAATTAATAATTAGCAAGAGGCGATGTGTTTGGTAAACTGCCCTCCAGGCAGCCTTCAGGAGCACGATGAGGATGTAATGGTGATGACAGTTTTCCCTTTGCAAGGAGATGAGGGCTAGTGAGTCTGCAGGACAGCCGGAGAGCTGCAGGACAGGCAGGAGGAAGGGCCCTGCCCCTGGGTTCCCACTCAGCGAGCATTGCGCTCCCACAGCGCCCAGGGAGCGAGCACGTGGAAGATCTCAAAGCTCTGTGCAGCACCCTTTATTCCTCCAGCAATCACTGCCACACGGGGAATTTGGCCCCTTCTCTTCGCACTGAAGCCCCAACAGCTTCAATGGCACAGGGGTACCACAAACCCCAGAGCACAACCCCCCAGCGCCCAGACTCATCCAGCCCCAAGCCCCCATGGCCACGGCACAGCGGGGTGCCCGGTGCCCCCGCATCCCCAGCCTTACCTTTTTGCTGAACTCCCGTGCTTTCTGCTTCCTCTCCTGGCGCACGGCATCGGTGCTGTGCCCCAGGTCCCGCTGGGGACGCAGCAGCCCCAGGCGCAGAGCGCGCCCACCGCAGGAGGCCACCAAAGCAGCGGCGGCCGCGGGGCACCTCACGGGCACGCCGTCCACCTCCAGCACCACGTCCCCGGGCGCGATGCCACAGGCAGCAGCGGGCGAGCCGGGGGCCACGCTGGCCACCCGCGGGGGGCTGCCACCCGCCAGCTGAAGCCGAAGCGGACCACGGGGTCCCTGGGGGGAGGTCGGCGCGCTGCAGGCGGGACAGCACCCCGATGCTGGGGGGCACCGGCCGCGCAGCGCCGGGCCAGTGCCAGCAGTGCCGGGCGACCCAGCGAGGCTGACGGGCTGCCCCTCCAGCTCCAGCACCTCGTCCCCTGGTCGCAGGCCCTGCTGCCGCCGCGCTGCTGCCTTCCTCCACCCAAAGGACGTAGCAGGGCCCGCGGCCGCCGATGGAGAACCCGAACGCCTCCGGCCAGCCCTCGTTGGTCGCCGGCATGGCTGCAACTGCAAGAGAAAGGGGAGATGGGGCTGTGGGGAGTCTCTGCTCCCAGTGCCTGCTCCTGTAGATGCTGCATTGGGCCGTGCCTCCATGCCTCGGGGGAGGAAATGCCCCCAGAGGGATGCTTTTCCAGTATATTTCCCCCAAAACAGTTTTCACCTTTCCAAGGCCAAAACATCCCATGTATTGCATTAACCTGATAACAGCACCCTGAAACACAAAGATGAGGATTTTCAAAAGCACTCATTTGTTGTTAATTCGTGGGTTAGGACCTGCTCTGGGTGCAGTGGGAGAAGCGTGCTCAAAGGGACAACGGCACAGCTAAATGTCCCAAACTCCTGCAGTCTCTGCCAGGGCAGGACCAGCCCAGCTGATGGCTGTGGTGCACTCGCAGCAGAGGAAAGCAGCGCTCCTGGGTGCCCATTTGATGCTGCTGGAGTGTGAGGGCATTCGTTGTCTGCTGACACTCGCTAAATTAATTTGCATGCAGAGTTTCACTTCATTTCATCTTAGCTGCCTGAAGATGCTTTATATCCCCACCTTTATTCCACCTGTGTTACTTAGCACACATTAAGCATTTACAGAAACGAAACCCAGACTGTTTTATGGGGGCAAGTTATCTTAGGGGGACTATGAAGGCTCATAATCACTCAGAAACATTCCTCAGCAATGCAGCCTTAGTTTCGCACTCTTCAGATCAGGACTCAAAGCAACACAGCCCAGCTGCTCCCGACAGGCAGCAGCCCCTGCCACAGACCAGCCCCACGGCACGGCACGAAGCCAGAACATGGCACGACCTCGGAAATCTGTGTCAACAACCCCAGGCTGCCCCGTGGTCACCAGCAGCTGCTGGAGACTGCGTTACGAAGGGCACTGGGAGCGCTGACCTCACCAGGGAGTATGAGAAAGGACCGAGCACTGTGCTGCAGCTCGGTCCCTGCCCTGTCAGGATGCTGCCAGCACCACCACGTTCCAGCCAGCAACCATCACCACCCTCCCACCTCGGCGTCCCACTGCCACAGCACTCACGGAAATCCACAGCAGCGAGCCCGGTGGGTGTTTGTGGGGTGCAGCTCTGTCCCGCTAAGGGGTCCGGGAGTTCTGGGGTCTCCTCCATGGCCCGCAGCAGTGCGTCCTGCCTTCCCGCAGCTCCTGCCTCCTCGCTGCCACCCCAGGGGACAGCCCGTGGGCTGCCAGCACGGAGGGGACAGCCGGGGAGCCCCCAAGCAGGGCTGCTGCACCGGGTGGCCAAAGCCACATCCCCAGCTGCTCACTCCAGCCCTGAGCCCTGCCAGGCGCTCCGGGTCGAGGCCAGGCACGCAGAGAGGGCTGCGGTGCCTCTGGTTCCCCCGGTCCTTGCTGACTTTATTCCCATCGCAGAGACCCGCGCACAGACTTCTTGCCGTGCTGGCCCTGGCTGCGCCCGGTGCTGACCTGAGCCTGCAGATTGAGGGGGGATTAGGGCCTGAAGGGAGGTAAAACAGATTACACGGAGGGAAATCCATCACCCACAGGGGCAAATCCCAAGACGGGCTCTGCAAAGCAGCGGGGACGCAGCGCCCCGAGACCTGGCAGGCCCCACCACCAGAGATTTGGGTGGAAAACCAGAACCTTTGGTGGTGCATGTCTGCCCAGCAGCACGCGACATGCTGCAAGGATTTGGGGTCTAGGCTAACGTCAGGGTGGCTGCTCGGGACATTTCCCTCCCCAGCAGGGCCACCAGCTCCTCGCAGCAGGGAGCATTTTGCAGCCCAGCCCCACGCTCCCACCAGCTCCCCCCTTAAGCTGCTATTTCTGATTTTCTCTTTTGCTTCCTCAGCACTTAGGGATCCCGGGGCTTAGCACACTAAGAGGTTTTAGGGTATTACACGTCCTGCTGTGGCACCAGCAGGGCTGGGGATCTGCAGAGGGATGGCACATCCCATTACTGACCACACAACAACCCTGCCTTCCCCTCGGTGAGCAGCACCGGGATGGAGGGGAGCAGCCTCCCAGAAACCTGGGCTGTAGGGCACAGGATGGGCAAAACCTTAACGAAGGGAGCTGCAGGGACGTGCTCTGTGGTGGAGGATCCCAGCCTCGCCAGCGTGCTGCGCTCTGCACTGCCCCCGGCCATGGAGCTGTGTGGGTGCTGGGGGGTGCTGCCTGCCCCAGTGGGTGCTACAAAACACCAGGGATCTTTGCTGCTAACTGCCCCAACAGACAAAACTGCAGACACAGCTGTGATCAAAGTTTTTTTTTTTTTTCTTTTTTTCTTTTTTTTTTTTTCTGTAAGTGAAGTCATTGCTTCCTTTCCCACCACTTCTAAGTGACTTGAGTACTTTAAACAATGACTAAGTGTTGCTCCTTGCAAGAAATTAGTTCTGGGACTCCAAGCTAAATCTGTGGTAAGAAGATGGTTTTCTTGAAGACCAGACTTTGATCAAATGAGGCTTTTGGCTGATATTCACAGTGCTCTGACTGACTGACCCTCACCTCTTTCAGACTCAGCCTGCTGCTAGAGCCTTTGCTGCTGTTTTGTCCTGGGGCACAGCTCGGGTGGCCACGGAGCCACACACAGCACCAGCCCCGAGCACGGCCAGTCCCCAGCTGTGCACAGACGTGGCACAGACCCTCTGTGTCCCCCGCACAAACACAGCCTCGCACCAAACTTGCAGGGTTGCAGCAAATGTCCCCAGTCTATGGCTGTGCCCAGAGCAGAAATTTTGCTGTAACCAGTAGTAGGAAAAAAAAAAAAAAAAGGTTTTCCACTGTGCCCTCCTGCAAGAGCACACCAGCACTGCTGGTCCTTGTGCTGTGCTCTGGGGCAGCTGTGCCCCTGTGCAAACGGAGGCTGAATGTCCTCTCAGTCTCAAGTTTGATGAGTTGTTGGCTGAGAACTTAGCAGGGAAAATAAGATCCCCTCCTGAAACGCCACCTCATCTGAAGCCTCTCCTGCCCCAATGACTTATTTTCACATCCCCAGCGCCCTGCAGGGCTTACCTGTGGTGCCCACGGTGCGGCCGCCCGGGACGCAGAGCATGGGCTGGCAGAGTCATCCCAGCCACAAGACAGCTTCTGGATCAGTTACCTGCGGCAGCAGCCGCCCGAGTTTCTATGGCAAAGTGCCCCGGCACAGTAACCCAATAGGCCACTCGTGAGCGGCACCGCGCAGCCCGAGCAGGGCCAGGGGACGGAGCCAGCTCACGGGCAGCGGGCAGGGACCGGCCGGGGACTGCCGGCACCCCCTGAACCCAGGGCACAGCGGGCACAGCTCTGGGTGCTGGGGGTTGGATGGGGGGGTCTTCCAAGGTGCCTTCCAGCCCCTAAGGGCCTGTGACGCTGTGTCACTCTGTGTTGCTCTGTGTCACCCTGTGCTGCTCTGTGTCACTCTGTGTTGTTCTGTGTCACCCCATGTCCCCACATACTGCCCCCAACCCCCCCTCCTTTCCCTTTCAGCACCCCTCTTCCAGGCGGTGCCCCTCGGGCCGCAGCACTCGGGGCTCCCTCATGCTCCGGGCGGGTGTTGCTTCAAATCCTCCCCCCCTTAGCGAGAAGCCCCAGACCCTCCCCCGCATCCCCTCCAGGCCGCCCCCGGCCCCTCCTCAGCACGGCCCCGGGAGGGGGCGCTCCGAGCGGCGGCCCCGGCCCCGCAGCGCCCTCCGGGGCCCGGCTGAGGCCTTCACCGGGGGCCGCCTCCCGGTGCCGGGGGAGCCGCCCCGAGGCCGGCCGGGGCCGCGATGGAGCTGGCGGTGCTGCTGGCGCTGTACCTGGGCCTGCTGCTGCTGGCAGCCGCGGCCCTGCTCGGCGGCTGCCCGCGGAGCGCGGCCGGGGCCTTGGGCGGCGCGGCGCGGGTAGGGCCCGGGGGGCGGCCCCGGGGCTTGGAGGGGGGCTCTGAGGGGACAGGGGGGGGCTCTGAGGGGACAGGGGGGCGGCTTTGAACGAAGAGGGAGGGTTTGGGGCAGGGGTGAGCAGGATACGAGGGCCTCCGAGGGCGGCGGGGCCCTGGCAGGGCTGCCCCGGGCCGGGTGGGATGGGGCCGGGGCTGGGGCTGGGTCGTGCCCCTGGGGCTGGGCCTGGTTCCCTGGGCCCTCCCTGGGTTCTCGGCCTCCTCCAGCAATAGTGTATGTCCGAGGGTATGTGTCTGCCCCATAAAAATGTGGGGCTGGGTGGCCCTGTGCAGCCCGGCCTGTGCTGGCAGCTCTCAGGTGGGTGCCCAGCTCCCAGGGGGATGCCCACCGGCACCACCAGCAGCGCTCCGCATCCTTCAGGCTGCCAAAACCCTGCCCAGGTGCCTGCTCGCAGCCTGCCCGCACCCAGGGGTGGCCTCTGCTGCTGCTGCTGCGCCAGGCTGGCTGCCCCCGGTCACCGGGGTGGTGGTAGGGTGGCACATCTCGCCGTGCCAAAATCACATTGTCCTGCCCTGCTGAAATCCCCTTGTTCAGTGACAGCCTCGCACTTCACCTGGGAGATGCTCCTCAGCAACGAGCCCCAAGGATGCGCAGCTGGTGGTACTCGCTGCTCCCCTCAAGGGGAGCAAGTCCTGGGGAGGTGCTGAGAATGAAAATAGGGAGAGAGTTATAGCTGGTAATAAATGTTTTAGGGGAGGCTTTTAAGGTGAGTCTGTGATAATATTGCAGGCTGTTGCGTCCTAGGAAAGTGAAGGAATTAGGAGCTTTAGGAGAGGATTAAGAGTTGGTGCTTTGTTGTAAAGGCAGGGAATGAACTGGCAAGGCACTAGCTTATTTCTCTGCCTATTGGGCTGTGTCTGAATGGGGAAAAAAAAGGCATAGCAATCTTGCCAAGGAAAGGATAAGGCAATTACTTAAGTTGTAAATAATATTTAGTGCTGCTTATGAGAGTCTAAGCAGACATTGATTTTTGTTTCTAGTGTTACCATTTTGTTTCATAGACACTCAGATCACTGTGCAGAGAAATTTATTATTTTGCCACATTCCTTAATAGGTACTTTTAAGAAACATGTAGCAATCAGCAACTAAAATGCTGCTGTGTTAGAACATCCCTTTTTGGAGAAATGCAACTGATACTTGTAGGCATGAAATAAACATAGGTAGTCCTAAATTGTTTCTGTAGATTCTGTATTTTAAATTAATTTCTGACTGTAATTAATTAAGTGTATAAATCTGTGAGTGGATTGAAATTGTTTGACTGCACTCCTTGAACACCCTTTAAAGTATTCATCGTGAGCAATAGAAATAACCACTTGCACACAGCACAGCTGTTTTTAGCTCTGTGGCAAGTCATCTTCCACCCCCGAGTCTTTTCCAACCCCCCAGCGGCTCAGCTGCGCAGGCTGCTTTTATTCATGACACAGGTCTCGCTCCCTCACACCTCTGTTATCACCGCAAGCACAAATCGTATTCTAGGAGCTTTTTCTTTGATGTAAGAACTGGCTGAAGCACAAGGGATGGGTGTTCTGTAAGTGGGCGAATGATGGGTGTTTCAGGCTATCAGTGCAGTGTAGGGCTGTAATTAACACACAGTTCATTTAAATTTGGATTTAGCAATTGTGTGATAGGTTGCTTTTCTGTCTAGTTGCCTAATGCGTCTCCTGTTGCAGTATTCAATCTCTTTTTAAAAAGGCTTGTAACTTGAACTGCTGATAAGAGGCATACTAGTTAAAAGAGAAATATTTGACATCTTCTCAACCCTACATATGTTTTTTGCCTTCTGGTCTTTCACATCTAAGATAAAAAGCTCTGGCTGCATATTTTCTCTTCGTGTCTGCTAGAAATAGGCTCAGCTGCTCTATTTCTTCCACCGCTGATGGAGCAGCGTGTTGCTATAGAGATCTGTCATCTTCTGAACAGCAGAGCCAAACAACCCCAGAGTCACAGCCTATTGCGGAGGATGTCCCTGAATGAAGACAGGCAGCTTTATTCTGCATTGTGTCTGCCTGGTTTTGAAACGGCACTCAGACAGACGTGGAGCTATCAGGCTGAATCGTGGCTGTAGCTGAAGAAGCTGGGGTTTTGCTTTGTGGTTTTGTATATTTGTTTGTTTGTTTTTTCTGGAGGATAGCAGGCTTTATCTCTTTGCTTATCTCTGCTTACATCTGTCCGATGGCCTGATGGAGCATATTGTAGTTGAGAAATTGCTCAGTTCTATCCCCTGCTCAGCCACTGACCCAGTCTTTAACCTGCTAAAAGCTCCTTATAACTTTCACACATTAACCCAGATAAATTTGTTTGTGCCTGCTGGGCTTCAGGAATAGGGAACCTCGCTCCCCTTTTGAAAACCCCAACAACTGCTTGCCTAGGAGCTCAAAATGCCCTAAAGATGGGCTTCCTCCCTGGTGGTACGGGTACAGGGATATATAAGTGAGGGGTGAGGTGGCTTACATTTTTGTTTGAACTGTGCCTGTGGCAGAAGTGATGTGCAGTACCAGTAACAGTGTTTTCATTTGCCTCAGGTATTGTCATTGGTAATCCCCACACGGCTCCAGAGAGCGACACAGAAGGTGCTTCACAGGCTCTTCCACACACGGTAATGCACGTTTATTATATGCTTTTGACATTATTTTTGCTAATGTTTCTGATTATTATTGATGATCTGCTGCCACCGGAGCTTTCGGTGTTACCCTCAGATATTCCATCTTCATTAGGGATGCTTGGTGGGGATTACAGATTTCCCTTAAGGTTTGCCATACTGTCGTCTTTCTGTTCCTTCTGTTGAGAAGATGGGACTCTGAAATATGTGAACATATTTGACAAAAAATGTGGCTCAGGAGTTTCCACTACAACAGATGCTGGTCACACTGGTGGGAAGCTGCATCCACAGGAGAATTACAAAACAAACACCCTGGCAGCTGTGGAATGAGCGTAGACAGAGCCAGTGATCCCTGCTCCCCCTCAGATCCCATTAGTCTTAGTCCAGCAGCCTGGACGTGCAGGTGGCTCAAGGGGAAGCTGCAGAGCTGCCAGCGTGCAACCTGCTGTATGAAGGTGAATTTTGTAGTGTCCTGTAAAATCGGGTGCTTTGAGATCTGCTTTGGGAACTACTTAAATGCCCTTCCCCTGGGGGTGGCAGCTCCAGTTTGCCAGGCACTCGAGGGGTGTCTCCAGCTGTCGATTGCACACTGCTGCTGTTCCGTCGCCTGCTGTGCAGATTTTCTGGTGTTAGTTAACACAGCCCAGGAGAGTGGTTTCACTGTCAAATGTGCAGTCAGCAACAGAGCAATTATCTGATGAGCCTGGTGTAGTTGTCACTGCTAACTTACACGGGGTGCTGGAGGCACTTGGATCCTTCAGGCACACCCTCCTGCTGCGTCACCTCATTCACCAAGAGACTTTTCATCTCACGCAGAGGTGCAGCACTTGAGGGAGCCTTCTTGCAGCCCTGCAGCTGAGAGATCACCAGGAAACGGTGTAGGAGAGAGCAGGAGAGGAGATCTTGACACGCCTCTTATGAGTTATTTCAAACTGGTGGTGAAAGTCCAGCCAACTGGTGTACCATGCAAGAAGCTGTAATGAAAGCTGCACTCCTAACGCATGGCTTATCTGGTGTTGGTTTGCCAGGCTGCTGGAAACTGTGGCACAGCTGATGCACCCCAAAGCAGCCTGCATGCCAGGCACTGTGCAGCTTGCCTCGCAGAAGCTGTGGTCTGCTGGCAGGCTGGAACCAGTGCTCGCCATTGGTAACCTCCTGCCACGCTTTCTTTTAGAACAGCTGCTTACAGCTCCTCTGTATTACAGGTTTTTAAATTTACCTTTTATTGGGGGGTTTTCTTTGCTTTCAGAGCAGCGTGTAGCAAATGTCTTTTGGCAGAATATTTTGTGGCCTATTGCTGTGACGTATTTTGGCAGCACACGGGGACTATGAGACTGTACTTGACTGAGAGAAAAAAATCCAGAGGACATGCTAATAATGGAAGTAAATTTAGCTGGCGTTTTTTAAGGAGTTCATGTGCAAAGAAGAGGAGTCATTGGGTGAGAGAACACTCTCAATATGCAGTCCATGTTGGCCTAAAAACCTAAAAGAGATGTCCCCTTGCATTTGGAAAGCCTGTGCTGATCACCTGAGTGTACTTGATCTATTAATTGGGATGCTGAGCATAACCAGACAGTCCCCTTTCTGTTGCAGAAGCCATTTGTTCACTGTCCTGCACGTAGCCTTGGAGGTGGCAGTCTATGCTGAATACACGTGGGAAGTGTTTCCTTATTGCTGGGAGCTGGAGTTCCACCTCCTCCTCCTGCTCCTGCCCTACCTGCTGCTGGCTGGGAACATCGGCTGCTTCGTTCTCTGCTCCCGCGCCGATCCCGGTAAGCTCATGCCGATTGTTGGAAAATGGAACCAAAAACTGTTGCCAACACCAATGCTTTTACTACTTACTCTTGTTTTTGTTTTTCACAGGTATAATAACAAAATCAAATCATGCATCACTGATGAAGATTTATGCGTATGATGGTGCGTTATTTCAGAAAGGCAGTCCGGTGCCCTACGTGCGACATGGAGAAGCCAGCCAGATCCAAACACTGCCGTAAGAATTTAACTTGCTTGGCAAGCATAACAGTAATGTACTCCCAAATTAGTTCGTTATCAGTAACTGCAGTTCACACTATTTTTGTTTTGTTGCCCCACTCAGTACATACAGGATTTTGTTCATTTTTAGCAGGGTCCCAGATCACAGCTGCCCTTTGCCCATTCACGGAACTATTTTGCAGTTAATTATTCTCACAGAAATTACCAGTTCTGAGGGTATTGCTTTGGGTCAGGGATAGGCAAGCATTTGAGTATTTAGAGGTGAAATAAAAATCATTGCCTTGCCAAGAGCTGAGCTCAGGATTTTGTGTTTCTCTTGCAGAATTTGCTGTTACCATCATCACTTAAAATAAAGCAGGGAGATGCAATCTCTACCTTTCACATGCCACAATAGGCAGTATTGTCAGAGAAGCCAAAGTCACAGAATCACAGAATGGTTTGGGTTGGAAGGGACCCTAAAGATCATCTAATGCCAACCCCCTGCCATGGCCAGGGATGCCTTCCACTAGAGCACGTTGCTCAAAGCCCCATCCAACCTGGATCTAGTCTTGGTTGGTGAACAAAAGAAGAAACGAGGTACATGTATTTGTTTTTAATGTTTATTTCGGGGTAAGTGGTTGAAATTCATTGATTTGTTTAAAATATTATCACCTAAATCACGGCCACTGTTTTTTCTTGGATAAATAGCTATTTGAAACTGTAAAAATCAAATCGATTACTCAAAAGCCAACTAACCGAGCTGTCTTGTCACTCGCTTTTGATCAGGTTTTTGCAATGTCTGTGTACACCGTTTCGATCACCACTGTGTGTGGGTCAACAACTGCATTGGTGCCTTCAACGCAAGGTATTTCTTCTTCTACCTCTTCACGCTGACTGTTACGGCCGCAACCATTGCGATCATCACAGCAGCGTTTCTCATCCAAGTGGTGCTGCTGACAAATATGCTGCATGGGAGTTACATTGATGACCAAGGCCAAGAGCAGGCTGTTGAGATTCGCTTTCTCATTCAGGTAAGCTTATGCTCACTGGGCTGTTAACCTACCTGGAGTTTAGATTCCCCAGTGCTGGAATTTAACTCACCAAAGAGCTGCTTAAACTGTATTGTGTCACCAAAACCAGAAGTTGTACCAGATTGTGACCTCTGTGTCTGGCAGTTTTGCAGTGCTTCTGTGTTGATGATTTTTTTTTAATAAAATAATAAAAAACTCTCTAGTACAAAAATATAAACATTCGGAAATAAATGGATTTAGAAAATACCCCCGCTTATTAGCAAGCTTTGAAAGGAAATAAATTTCTGGAAATCCGCATGCTTTTACTCAAAGATTCAATTTGGAATGGAGCATTACTGAGCTGGAGGGAGGATGGGGCTATGACCTTGTTTCTGGGGCTGAGGTTCCGTGTATAGACAAGCATTTCAGGTGGGATGTTGCACTGTCTCTAATGCCATGTGATTTAGTACTCCAACTCTGTAACCAAGTTATTATTTTCTTTCCTTGCAGCACCTTTTCTTGACTTTTCCTAGGATTGTCTTCATGCTTGGGTTTGTTATTCTTCTCACACTTCTGCTGGGTGCATACTGCTGTTTCAATCTCTATTTGGCCTTAACCAACCAAACTTCCAACGAGTGGCATAAATCCCGAAGATCTGGGTGTTCCCACCATCCAACACTGCAACCTTGTGACAGACAAGTTGTTTACAAAAATATTTATTCTAAAGGAGTCTGGATGAATTTAAAGGAAATCTTTAAGCCTCCCACAGTGCTGGAAAAAGAGAAGAAAACATGAAACCACTACCCCTTTGATTAGTTTTTTTTTATTTTTTTAATTTTTTTACTTTTTCTAAGACTTTGATTCAGCAGCGTGTTTTGATACCGCGAGCAACTTTTGTTAAAAAAAAAAAAAAGTTATTGTATTTCAGTTAATTAGAAACTTTATTTCCATAAAGGTGATTCTTCAGAAAACAGTGTTTGCAAGTTTGTCTGTAACACTGCTCATACCAGCTGTTAAAGCGATGTGTAAGTCTTTTCAGACACAAGCACAGCCCAGAAGCAGCTGTACTAGAGGTCGGTTCGGCTGGGGTGTGCACACACACATGCAAGGGTCTTAAAAAAAAAAAGTTACTGGTTGTGTGCTGCATAACATATGCCACTGCACAACAGGCAAACTGAGTTCCTAAATTACTTTGGTACATCTTAATCATGTCTTCCTGCAGGAGACTTTACAGCAATGTAGCGAGGACGTACATGCGGAACATCATATAAAGAGACATCCGTTGTTGATTATTCCTGTAGGAAGGCAGGATGGTGCAGTGGGCTGTGAGATGCTGCTTAATAGTGCCTCTGCAGAGCACTACTTAAGATACTTGACTTAGTGCGATGTTATTAGAGGGACCAGTAATGAACTTGCTGGCATGAAGAAGCAAGCTTGGTCCAACAGACTGCAGTGAATGCCTTTACTTGGCATATGATTAACCCGTTACTATTAACAACATGTAGAATTAAGGAGAGACCTGATCCTGCCGTAGGTATTTCTTTGTGGTTCAGGCATTTTGCTACAGGGGAAGTAAAAAGCTGTCAAAGCTGTTTCTAAGGCTGCTCACCTGCATTCACAGAACAGGCACCTCTAAAAGCAGAGTGGTAATATGGCCTTCCACTTCCGCACAGGGATGTTTTAGGTGAGCTCTGAAAGGCACTTGGGCAGTGTCCTTCCAGAGAGAAATATATTTATGGCTATGCAAGTAACCTTCTGAAATCCCTCTAACTGGAAGGTTAACTACAGATCACTTGAAAGACCTCCACCAGCAGGGATGTACTGGCTGCTTTAAGAGATCCGCGTTTGTCTCAGGGGAAGACCGTTTTTGACTCACCCACTGATGAGGGTTTCTTACTCGCAATAGTAAGTAGCCCTGTTCTTTTCTCCTTCCAGAAATTCTTCTGTTTGAGTGACAATATAGCAGAAATTGGAAAAATAGAGTAAGAACTTTAAATAACTTTATTTTTAAAAATGTATTTACATGCCAAATCTGTACAATATGCAATTATAAATCCATATACGATTTTAAAAAAATCATGTACACTATGGCTTTACACACCAACAGACTAGCTCTCAGAGCAGCCTGTCTGGCTTTGCAAGGGTACAATGATGCATTCTTTCATAGACCAGTACATAAGGCTACTCGTCCAGAATACAAAATAATAAAATAAAATAAAAAAAGAAAATACTGCAGTACCATGCCTTAGGAGAAGTAAAGTAGTGAGGTTAAAGGCATGAAAGTGTTTGACTGGTAGTAAATGCACGCCAGAATGCCTTAGGTTTGGTATTCTCGTTTTGTTTTAAATGCATATGATTAATTTAAGTAGTCTCTTATGAGACCCTATTTACTTGTTTCACTTTCTGAATCTTTTTAAATTTAAACACCAGAACGCTACTGTCCTGTGGTCAGAGGTAAATGCTTTGCAAAGGCTCTTCCTTTATTTGAGGCAGCTGTACAAAACACTGAGACCGTCAAACGTGGCATATTGGTCGCCTCCACAGTATACCCACGCGGAGGTTTTTAACTACTAATTGCCGTTTTAAACAGAAAATAGCTCAGGCCTGTATCATCCTGTTAAGACACTTACTTATAGAGGCATTCCCTCCCTTGCTCTCTGAACAACTGTAATGGCGAACTTAGAATTGATCAAATTCCCCAACCTGGAGAAAAATAATTAGTTTTACATTAACATCTGTCAGTAGCTGCACGTTGATGGTTACACAATCACAGTCTGGACTTCCACCTCCCCCTCCTGGGAGGCAATCACGAACTCTCCTGCGTGTTCCATTATTTCAATGTCCTCTGATGCCACCATGGTCACTGTCGCTTCTTCTGTCTCGATGCTACCCTCTGTAGTCAGCACCGCTCCTTCTCCGATGGCAGAAGCCAGCGTCATGGCCACCTGCTCCGTCAGGCTTTCAGGGGTCGCAATGGTGATGGTGTCTGCAGCATCCGTGGTTACTTCGGAGTTCTCTGCCACGGTGACGTTCTGCACAATGATCTGGTGACCAGAGTTTGCTTGATTTACTATTTGTTGTACAACTTTCATAATGTGGCTGTCGACCTACATGATGAGAAAAGAGGCCAAGTTATTTCTCGATGTGTTGCACTCTGTTAGAAGTGCATACAATTATAACCCTAATCACTGCGTGATGACTAGCAGCACAGTACTACAAGCAGCATTTAATTCCAGTTTCCTCCAGCTGTTCACTGAAGTTCTCATCAACCCAAGAACAGCAGACTCTTAGAACAAGTTGCACCTCATGTCACTGAAGACGTTTCTCCAGCAGGGTACTTTCTACAGCAAGTCAGATCATAGCAAAACCGTAACAACTCATGCCCAGTCATTCAGACTGGCTGACTACAACCGAAGAGCCTCTGACTGCAACCACCGGTTTCTAGCATTCACGAATTCCTTAGGAGGATGACTTTCCAAAGGCCGAAGTGTTGTACAATTCTATGTAGCCAGCAGCTCCATTCTCACGTATTAAGCCCTCCAAGTTCCATCACTCACAGGATATAGAGTTAGACAGAGCTTTGGTCAAACCCAGCACGACCACTGTTGCATTTTATACAGACAGGTCTGCAAAACTGCACCAGTCGGTAAATAAATTACTTGAAGTTGGGTTTATTTAGCATGGCTTTCAGACACTAAAAGTAATTCATTTCACCTACAGAAAGGACCCGGAAAGAACAGTTTCAATGGCTGCTTTACCTCATGTCTTGTTCCCTCTATTATTTCAGTAGCTTCACTGGTCTCCATGTCTTCAGTAGCAGTCTTGAAAGACAAAATACAATGATTCCCTTTTTAGATTATGATGAAAAATCTTCTATTTCCGAGACACAAGACACTAAGATCTTTTATAAAAGTCTTCCTGCTTCTCCTCCATGATGCAGTAACTACTCTAAAGACAAAAACTTAAAGTTTCCTCTAAACCCCACTATGAAGAGCTACTTCAGAGTAATGCAAAGTGCTCACAGACAACCAAAAGAGAACATCCTCTCTCAGCAGGACTCTGCCAACGGGCAGATTTTTTCTCCTGTTAGTAGCAGCCGCAATGTTTACTATGGCAGCATTACAGGCACTCAATAACGGGCTGTTATTCAGCACAGATGAGGGCTAGCTCCTTGTCACAAAGAGGAAGAAAATGAAACGCATCATTCATTGCTTTTGGCAGCCAGAGACAGTTAAAAAATGTTTATTTCAGACAAAAAAAAAAAAAAGCTATCTAAAAATGGGAGAAAAGAAGAATTAGATGTTGAAAGTAAGCTGAAGCAAGGACAATCCTGAACAGTCAGAAGTTCTCTGTCTCAGCCTTCTGATTAACTATGGACAGTCTTACCCACATGCTCACTTTTGTGCCTTTGTTACATGCAGGACAACAAGATTTTTTGCCCCATTTCTTACCTCAATAATGTATTCCTGAGTGTCTGCCACCACTGAAGAAAACTCTACCAGAACAGTATGAGGATCATCAGAGATGACTGTTGCAGCTAAATTATCAGCCGACTGACTTTCCTCAGACACTATCACTTCCTCCACCTCTTTCAAAGCCAGGAGGCAGCCACCTGATTGGTATTCCAAAAGTGAAGGAAAAAACACACATTATTTTCCAGAACCAACTCAAATATTGGAGTACCTGACAAGTACTCTGCAGCACTAATGAGATCCCTTTAACAGGATACCGCTGACAAACGGCCAGCAGTCAGCATGCTCTAATCCTACCAAGCCAAATACGGACCTAGAAGAGGCCTCTGCTACATCAGACAGACCTGAACCTTCAGCAGAGCAGCTGCCCAGTGCAATCTGAAGAAATACACAACTAAATTCAGATGCGTAAAATCATACAGGATTTCAAAAGCCATATGTAAAGAATATACAATAGATATAAAACTTTTGGCATGGTTTAAGCAGTGTATCTTTTCTGCTTGTGCACTGCCTTTCAGGATCTATCCGGGAAGCTTTATTGTAAGGATAACACAGGTTCATGGGACAATCTCAATGCATCATCATCTCTACCCACAGAGGTTTGAAAATCCACACTTAAGAAGCAAAGGAGCAACAGTGGACATTTTTTGGCCTAAACGAAGTACCGATCAACACAGATTGAAATATATAAATAAATAAATCCCCGCATCCCCTCTTTTGACGTGACAGAGATGCAGATAAACAAGTGACCTTGAATGAAGGTCATCAGAACCATCCTAAACATTTCACACCGCCCTGAAAACTCACGATCATTCAGCCAAAATGCAGCCTGTCCAAAACAGATCCCAGAACACTGACATCCACCCCCACCGCAGCACAGAGCAGCTTTGCCATCTCACCTTTGGTCTTTAAGTGCCTGTTGAGAGTACCGTGCTCTGCAAACCCTCGCCCGCACTTGTAGCACTTGAAAGGCTTCTCCCCTGTGTGGTGGCGGATGTGGCGGACCAGTGAGCCCTTTTCCCGAAAACCCCGACTGCAGTACTGACACACGTAAGGCTTATCCTCCAAATGCGTACGGAAGTGGACTTGCTGGGCGTTCTGTACAGAGAGAGAAGTAACAGAAGCTCAGTGACAAACTCAAGCAGTACATTAGCTTCCAATGTCAGCATCTTTGAGGACTTGTTCTTATCAAAGATGTGTCAAAGACGTTTGCATTCCTATTACATGAAGTTTCCATACACAAAGGAACAGTTTCCTCAATAAAACCCTCACGTTTATAAGACTGTCCCTCCTTTCCCCATTAATAAAAAAAAGCATTTTCTGCTCTTGTAAAAGGCAGGTGAGCAGGCATTTGTTGTGAAGCTTCCTAGCTTCTCCCAAACCCTAGCTCTGGAAGGGGAACTTTGAAGGCAACCCTGTTGTGCAAGGGAAACACACCTTTGTCTTGTACCGCTTGCCACACTTTGGACAGGAATATGGTCTCTCGTCAGAATGCACCCTGCGATGCCCCTTCACATGTGCGATGGTCTTGTAGAGCTTGCCACACTCGCCACAGCGGAACCGCCGCTCGTTCACGTGCACTTCTTGGTGCTTTTTTAGCAGATAACCCTTTGTGAACTCTTTGCCACACTCCTCACACTTAAAAGGCTTGTAATCTAGAGAGAGAACACATGGCGGATACAGGACAACCAGGAGCAGCAAAGCAGGAAAATCCTGCAGTCATTACCGAACCCAAGGGGTATTACTGCATTATGTATTATGTACTACTGTGAACTGGCATTCCCTGCTACTGCACAGTAAGAAAACCTGGCAATTTTACCCACCCACAGTAGCTCAGGTTATCGTTATCTGGCTAATGAAAATGGTGCAGTTACTTGCTTGTGTCTTACAGAGAAGCAAGGCTTGTCTTGGGACAGTTTGTAGCGTACAGATCATGGCTAACTGATAGGCTAAAACAGATCAGAGGCCCTTCTCTGAACACAAGCCAAAGGCAGGAAAAAAAAGGCATCATGCTGCTGACTGCACTGCCCTCTTCTGCACTTCAGCCCTTTCCAGAAAAGTATCTAGTACTGCCATAACAAAATTCTTACAGAAATTTTAAGTCCAGATAAGAAGCAAAGTGATATTTTCAACGCAGAGCATGGGCTTTGTCTCATTCATAAGTGAATTCCACCCAGATGTTGATCTTGGGGCCTTTGGTGTCTTTCAAGGAAGCCTTACAACACATATCACCTCACTGCTCTTTTAAATCGGCCCCTGCACAAAACTCTACTTCTGAGGATGCAATGCAGGTCCTGGAACATGGAGCCTGTTTTGCACTTCTTTCACGCTCTATTCTGGAACTTCACAAAAGTCAACTGCTCCAACCTTAGCATGCAAATGTGAAAAGCATTGACTGGATTTGCATGGCTGAAGGCCATGTAAAGACAAGGAACGTGAGACAACAAAAAGTACACCACGTTCAAGATCATGGTAAGACACGGTGCATTTAGACAATGGCATATGCAGCAGAGCCTTACCTAAATGGCCTTTGATGTGTGTTTCGAGGGAAGTAGCTTCACTGAAGGCTTCATTACAGTGAGGGCAAACGTAATTCTTGTACCCATTTGTTCTTTCTGCATCTGTCTATTGGAAAGAAAAGAGTACAGCATATATGGCTTTTGTACTGGTACATACAGTAAGTATTACTACCTAAATTCCCAATTAAATACCCCAGCTTTGGCAAGGAAGATTTACATGTTAACAGAAGAGCATTCACTAACATACATGCTCGCAACGAGCACAAAGACACGCTATAGAAATTGGCACAAAGACACAGGGACAGGGAGACCTGCACAATGTGCAGGGTGATCAGGCTAACACCACCGTAAACAACCAAGCGTAGGCACAGATTAAGAATCTATTTCGCAAGTACAAACGTACAGACTCTGCTTGTTCTATTTCAACACACTGTTCCGCACAGGGCTCCTCTTCTGCTTCCACCACTTCGTTTTCTAGTTCTTCTGCAGCCGGTACAGCAGGCTCATCTGGCTTCTGTACTTCTTCCACAGCAACTCTCTCTATCACAATGCCAGAATTCCTCATGGCCTGCCTCAGCAGATTCTCGCTGTTTGGTTCCCCCTCACATGGCAGCTCCTCAGGATGTGGCTGCTGAAGGAATGAAGAGCCCAACAATTGCTACAGCAAATACACAGGCTTTTTTTTTTTCCACAGCAATATTGGTAGAACAGTAACTATTACCAAGGTGACTAATGCCATGATATCAGGCATCTAAGAAATTTTCACGAAGTAAAATATTTCAAAAATACTTCTTTGCATAAAATACAAGGTGGGTATTCAAGAGAAGCAACACTCACTTCTTGGTCCAGAGATTTTTCATCTACGACAGGAAGCTCCTGCATTTGGACGTGGACTTCATGAAGCACGTTGCCTTTTGCATCTGTCACTAGATGAATCACAGGCGAGGTCTCAATGGATTCACTCGCCATTGATGAAACGGTGTCTGCATTTGAACTGCAGGAACCTTCAAGAACAGCAGCAGAATTAATCACCTGGTACACTGCCAATCCCTCTAAACACGTGTCTTAGAACACGAGGTGCCTGTTAAAACCACCTTTGTACCAGATCCTGAAGCGTTCTTACAGTTGGTGCCTGACTATGTGCACTTTGGGTTAATTGTTTGGATTGATATAAAATTACTTTTTCCCATGCAAAAGGTATGAATTGAATGCCACAGCAGTACGTTTTTCCTCAAATGAAAAAGAATTTATAGTTTGAGTACCAGGAACACGCTCGGTTTGATCAGACACGAGGCAGGCATTTACAGCATCACTGACCTGCGGGCAAGTCATCTTTATTGACGACTATTTCTTTGTTCATGTTGAAGCGAATTTTTTCCGTGCAAGGCGTCAGAGATTTCAGGTGCCGAGTCAAAGCTCCCGATTCCCGGAAGCTTTTTCCACATTTCTTGCATTTGTAAGGTCTTTCATCTGGGAATAAGAATCAAAATACCTGTGTTAAACTATCCACTGCCAGTTATTAAAGTTCTGTGCAATAGCCTTAGAGAAGAATGCGTTCAGCTCCTTACAGCAGGGAAATTAAGCTTATCCCACAACCCCACACCACCTTGCAACACCGCAGACATCAGGGAGCTCAAGAGCTCAGCAGATGATGGAAAGTAGCAATAAATTCTGCTCTAAAGTACGCTGGATAACGACACACAGCGCACTGCAGCAGTAAGGAACAATTTGGATACTCTTACCAGTGTGGCGCCGATGGTGTCGAATCAGAGACCCCTTTGTCCTAAAGGAAGTTCCACAGAGTTTACATTCATAGTCCTTCCTGCTGCTGTGAGTGATCATGTGAGCTTTGAGGATGCTTGCCTAGGGTAAGAAATGCGTTTTAAAAGACGTTTCAAATGATAAAGGGTGTTACATTTCAACTATGCGCTTTTTATCAAGGAAAAAAAGTTCCTTTACAAAAGTAAAGTTCTAGCTTTAAAGTATAGCATGCAGTAGAAAAGCACGTTCTTATCTTGAGACATCTTAGTGCAACGGCCAGCCTAAATATCGCTCTAATCTACCAGAGTGGAAGTCATACTTACCGTTTTAAACGTCTTCTGGCACATTTCACACACATATCGCCCTTCCTTGTTAACCAGAAGCTTAACCTTTATCAGTTCTGTGGAAATATCCTGCTCCTGATCATCAGGGTTGCTTTGCTCTTCAGCGACTTCCCCATCAACATCACCATTGGGGTTTTCAAAAACGTGGTCTCCTGCAACGATGACTTCTTTTATGTGCCCACTACCTGGGAAAAGGACACAAAGACAGCTATGCTCTTTACAAAAGACAGCTTTATGTGACTAGATCAACTCACTCCCTCAGACATTTCAAGCAGGTAGGAAGGAGAAATGGAAGGAGAAACCCTGGAATGCCGATCTTTATACAGCTCTCTGTTGTTATAGCATTAATGATACAACGGCTATTTCTGCAATGAAAGTTTAAATCTAGTTTGTGTCCCCACAAAGCTGGCCTAGGGATGCCTCTTGCCTCATTACGATAATGCTCAGTCCCAAGCATGCAGCACAGAAACGTCATTCACCCAGCCACAGCGCAGATCAGACAGCAGAGGATGCAGGACAAGTGAGCAGGTTCCTGACAGCAGGGATGTAAAGGCAAGCGCGCTGCGAAGCTCACCTCCTATCTGGAGCTCACCTACTATCGCTGACGCGTTCCCGATCTCATCTGCTATTGAAGACGCCTCGACAACAATATGGGCAACCGTTATGGACTCCTCCACCGAGGGCACAACCTGCCGTGACAGATAGCATTGTCGCAGGAAAGTTTCATTAGTTTTATTGCTTTTGAAGCCGTAGCACTGCGTTCTGCCCCCCCCCAGCCCCTCAGACCATTTTCCCCCCCCCCCGTCACCTTCTGTGCCTCCTGCGGGAGGAGCGGCGGCGCGGCGGGCTCGGGGGCTCTCTGGCAGCCCTTCTGCAGCTTGTGCTGGACGAACTCCTCCAGGGACGTGAACTCCGCCTGGCAGCGGCCGCACCGGTGCACGTCGGCCTCATCTGCACGGAGAAACCGGGGGGGTCCTGGGGGCTGCCCGGGGGGGCACGGCCGGTACCCAGCACGGCACCGGGGCGCTGGCACGGCCCAGGGGACCCCCAGCACCCCCAGCCCCCAGCCCTCAGCCCCCTCCCGGTGCCCGCCGCCGCCGCCCCCTCCCCGCCCCCCGCTCCCCGCTCCCCGCGCCGCCTCCCCGGGCCCTCCCGGCGCCCCCCGGCCCCCGCCGCGGCTCCGGTACCTTCCTCGGCGAAGGGCGCGGGGAGGCCGAGGAAGGCGGCGGGCCCGGCGGGGCAGGAGCCCGGTGCCGGTGCCGCCGCCGCCGCCGCCCCCCGCCGCTCCCCGCCCGCGGCTGCCGTAAGCGCCGCCGGCCCCGCGCCCGCCGCCGTCGCGGCCTCCATGTCGCAACGCGCCGCACGGCCAAGATGGCGGCTTTACGGCCGTGTCGTCATAACAACGGGCCGCGGGACGGCCGCCCAAAGGGGCTCGGCGGGGAACGGTGCCCAGCACGGGGGTTCCGCGCTGAGGAGGTTCCGAGGGGGGGGGCAGGGGGGTGCTGCCGGCTGGGGGCTGGGGGCTGCGCCCCCCCCGAGTTTCAGCGCCGCTCCCCCCTCCCGAGCGGGCTCTGGACGCGGCTCGCGGGCCGCCCAATGGCCGACAGAGCCCTCTTACTCCCAACCAATCGCAGCGCGCCGGCTCGGCTGAGCGACCAATAGCAGCGCAGTCCCCGAAGCTCCAGCCGTCGGCGGATCGCGCGGCGCCCAACGGGGCTCCGAGCGCGGGGCGGCGCGGACCAATGAGCGCGCGAGGGCGGCGGCGTGGCCCAATGGGGGCTGGGCGGCTGCGCGCGGTGAAGCCATGGCGGAGCATCAGGAGCCGGGCGGGAGACGGCGGCGGTGCCGGCGGCTGGAGGGCGACGCGGCGCGGGCCGTGCTGGGGGCGGCGGACACGCTGCTGTTCGACTGCGACGGGGTCTTGTGGCGGGGCGAGGCGGCGCTGGGCGGCGCGGCCGAGGCGCTGTGCCGGCTGGCGGCGGCGGGCAAGCGGCTGTGCTACGTGACCAACAACAGCAGCCGCACGCGCCAGGCCTACTGCGACAAACTGCGGCGCCTCGGCTTCCCCCCCGCACAGCCCCGCCACGTCTTCGGCTCGGCCTTCTGCGCCGCGCGCTTCCTCCGCCAGGCGCTGCCGCCCGGCGCCGCCGCCTACGTGCTGGGTGGCCCCGCGCTGGCCGCCGAGCTGCGGGAGGCCGGGGTGCCCCACCTGCCGCCCGGCCCCGCCGCCCTGCCCGGCCCCGCGCCCGCAGACTGGGCCCGGGCGCCGCTGGAGCCGGCGGTGCGCGCGGTGCTGGTGGGCTTCGATGAGCATTTCAGCTACGCCAAGCTGTGCCAGGCGCTGCGCTACCTGCTGCAAGGCCCCGACTGCCTGCTCGTCGCCACCAACCGCGACCACCGCCTGCCGCTCGAGGGTGGAGCTGCCATCCCCGGTGAGAGATTGGGGGAGGAGGGGGGTTGGGGTGCCCCGGGGGTGGGGGGTAACCGGGGGTACGGGGGGTGTCCAGGTTAGGGGAGGGGTGTTGCAGGGTGGTCCCTACCCCCTCCAGCACTTGGTGGGCCCGTGCCTGGTTTCCTGACCCCCCTCTCAGCCCTCCCAGAGGCAGCAGAGCCGCCCCTTGTCCCCTGCCTCACCGCCCTTTGCTGTACTTTGCTCCCCTCTAATCTCACATCCAACCAGCATTCCTGTTGTTGGGTTATTTGTTTATTAGGGTTATTTGGGGTGTCCCATCCCCAAAGCTCTCTGGGGTTCTGTCCGGGTGCTGCCGCTCCCCTGCAGCCTCTAACGGGCGCTGTGGTTTCTGCCCGCAGGGACCGGCTGCCTGGTGAAGGCGGTGGAGACGGCGGCGGAGCGCGAGGCGTTCATCGTGGGGAAGCCCAACCGCTACATGTTCGACTGCGTGGCCAGCGAGTTCGACATCGACCCCGCGCGCACCATCATGGTGGGAGACCGGCTGGACACGGACATCCTGATGGGCAACACCTGCGGCCTCACCACCCTGCTCACCCTCACCGGGGTCACCACGCTGGAGGAGGTGAAGGGCCACGAGGAGAGCGACTGCCCCGCCAGGCAGAGCCTGGTCCCCGATTACTATGTCGATAGCATAGCCGACATTCTCCCCGCTCTGCAGGATTAATAGAGCAGAACGCCGCTTTGGCAGCGGCTCCCCAAGGAGGGCCCCAGTCAGTCACCTTGTGGCAGTAATGTACTCACTCTGATACCACCTGAAGCTAGCGATCCTTAGCCTTTTAACCTTTCTGTCCTCTCGATATGATTTTGTTTACATCTCAGTCTTTTAAAATGCACTTTGAAACAAGGAGGGCATTATGGCGTCACACGAGTCTTGCGGGTTTGGGGCTTTTTTAATGATAAGTATCACCTACATCCAGACGTTTGTGATGCTCCATGTCGTGTTGTCCTCTAGGCTGAGTTGAGAGAAGTAGAGCCAACTGATGTGAGGAAGAGAACCCGGCAATTTGCAGTGTGTCCTCTCCTGGACAGGCTGCGGCTCAGTCTGGTTTATTCAGGGAAATGACTTTTGGAGTGTGTAGTAACTTAGCAGCTGTGTTTGGAAGCGATTGCAGGGGCTGACGGAATTAGTATTTGGCCTTTGATTGACTTTTTGGGATGGGGTCATGTTCAGCAGCACAGCCCACTGTAAGCGTGACGTCGGGCCGGAGGAGCTGTACGCAGTCTCCTCGTGTGACCGCTACGAATTGCACTTGTGATGCAGGTTGGGGTGATTGGCTCACAAAACACAAAAACGTCTTCTGTATCCTGTGTTTGTCCCAGTGTTGGGTGTGTGTGTAAGGTACGTGCACGTACAAGAGCTCCCCCGATCCTAACTATATATCAGAATCTATTTAAGGTATAAATCTAAGTATAGTATATGGTAATATATCTCCTTCCCAGAAGGGGAAGGTAAGAGGAATGTACGTCACCGATCCCAGTAGTTTGAGTTCTCATGAGCTTTTGTGTTCGGTGACGCAGAAAGCTTTCACCACATAGGACTGTCCCTCACCACTGCTGCTCCCCAGAAGTATCCGGATGGGTTAGACACCACCTTGGTTCCTGTATTTCCCTGCTGCCTCAGCATCAAAATAGCACCTGCCTCGGCTTTAGCTGTCGGGTGTGAGTCCAGACTCAGTCTGTAGAGGATGGATGTGGTACCCGCCTTACAACTCTACCAAAATAAACCTGAAGGAGTACTGGCTGTGTGCGACAATTGCACGGGCTTCCTTTAAACATCTCATCTCAAGATCTTCCTTGTGTGTCTGGCCGGGCACCAGTTGCTTGCCTGAAGAAGAGTGCTTGCTTGCTCAGGTGATGATTTTAGCTAGATCTCTAGGTACGTTTTAGGTGATGCGCAGCTCAGGCTACGGGATAGATTTTTATGCGGGCTGAATCAAGGCCACAGCTCAAAGCTTTTGTATTACAGAATTAAGAAAAATATATATGCAAATAACACTTTTTTTTCTATAGATTCAACTATTGGTAGTTACATTTAAGTGCTGCCCTTCCCTCATCCGCCAAAGTTCAGCTGAGTAGCTCCAGCCCTAGCGATGCCGTTTCCTTCCCCTCGGACACTGGAGACGCGTGGGCTTAGCGCCGTGTTTGTACAGCGATAACCACGGCTCGTTGGCTCTGTTATCACAGTGTTAGCTGGATCTTTCGTAACTCGGGGTTGTGTAAGGAAGCAAGAATAATCTCTTCCCTGTTCTTGTCTCCAGCTAGAAGGCTTACGGAAGTCACAAGAGACCTCTCCCTTTAGCTGGGTAACACGGAAATGGACGTTACGGGTTTACTGCAGGTAGGGTCTGACTCAACGCTGTGTTCTTTAATCCACTTCCTGCCTCTGGTGCTGTTAATTTCAGAATTTGTCAGGTACACCAGTCCATGCCAGGTGGGGCGTTCAGCCTCCTGCAGCAGCACGCTGTCCCCGCTGAGGACTGTGCACTGTTCAAGGCAACCGTTACCTCGATTCCCGTGTGCTGAAACGTGTTGGTGAGAGTGTCACTCGTGCTGCACAACCGTGTCAACGTCCCAACGGTTCTGAACCCACTACTTGAATTCACATTAAACTTGCAAACCTGCTTTTCCCTTGCATTGTCTCATTTTGTGGTCTCTGTGCCTGCTTTGGTGCTGCTGTGCTTTGTGGCAATTCCGGGAGCTAAGGACACATTTGTGCGTGCCATCTGTACTCCTTATGTAGAGTATTAGCAAAAGAAACAAAGCCAACCCTGGGCTACGTTTGTCAGATCTTCCCTTAATAGATGCCACATGGAGGAACTCTGCTGGGGCTTTCCTTGCCTCTGTGGGGTTGGTTATGTTTGGCAGGTCTCAAAAATAAAAAGCTGTGTCAGGGGCTCCTGGGCTGCCCAGGAGAAGTCTGGCCAGCTGGGAGCTCTGTTCCCCGTGGGGTATTTCTCCTTGTAGGAAATGGGTGTTAGCACGAGGGCAGCTGGTGCTGGGACGGGACTTTGCAGCTCGGATCTGTCCCCTGGGTCTGGATGAGGTGGGGTCTGGAGGTCGGACACAAGCACGGCCGCAGGATAAACAGTTGGCTGTCGGCCCACGGAGCTCGGGCAGCACAAAGTTCGTGCTGAAATGTAGAAATAACCGATGATAAGGGCAGCCTGCCACTGTTCCCTATTCATTTCATCTCGTAACGAGACTTACCCGGTCCTGCTACTGGGGCCTGCCAGCAGGGAGGCCCCGCACAAAGCCCTCAATTATGCTCCACCTGCGTGCCTCCGGTGGCTCACCAGGTAAGCAGGAAGAGCGTTTTTTGTACCACTGACAGGATCCCTCTGCAGCCTCGGCTTCCCCCCTCCTTCCCCCTGCCCCTGCAGCTCTCAGGTTTCCCCCTCCTCGCGGCTCTGAGGCAGGAGCACCTGGCTGGGCGCTGCTTTGGCCGCGGGGACCACGTTCACGTTTTGCAGCTGCGTGCCCAAGCTTCTCGGGCACGTTCGGAGCCCAGGACCATGCCCAGTCTGCGTGTGCCCCGGAGGCAGAGTTGCAGGAGCGAGGTCCTCATCTGAAGCGAGGATGGAGGGTGAGAGCAGCACCGGCAGCGCGGGCCCTGCGGTGAGTTCCCCTGCGCCCCGGGGATCACAGCAGAGCCCTCCCGCGGTGCCTGCCTGGGGCTGAGCTCCTGCAGCTCCTGTGGTGCTGCTGAGGTTGGTTCCTCACCTCTCCAGGGTCACCACCACCGATTTCAGCCCCCTGTGAGGCTGGGTCTGCCCGCGGGGTTCCTCTGCAGGTGCTGTGCTCACACCGTGTCGGACGCTGGGGTAACGGGGGAGCAGAGCTGCTGAGTCAGGCATTTCTGTGTCCTCCTTTCCCACCAGGAGGATTTTGTTTGCTATCAGGGATCTTCCCGGCACAGCTGGGGGGCTGTCACATCTGACCGGGACTGATGGAATCGTTCCCAGCAGCATTAGGGGGAAGCTGCAGAGCACTGAGGTCGATGGCTGAGGGAGGCTCGAGGAGCCTGCTCGCTGTCTGCCTGCAGCGAGCCGAACTGCAGGAATTTATTGAGTTTCTTCGTGCCTCGGAGAATTGAAACATTATTTTTTTATGGCAGAGAAGCGTTCCTTTTAACTCCTGTTCTTCCCTCGCTTTGCCTTGCCCCCCAGGACAGGAGGCTGGCAGCACAATTCTCGGGTCCATCCAGGACGTTCTGGATCATCCTGGCCGTTGCCTTGCTCCTTGCAGTCGTTGGCATCAGCGCTGGGGGGATCCTCGGCTTCGGCCCCAGCTCTGCCCAGGTGAGGGGTGCAGGTGGGGGCAGGAGGGGTCCTGCCCGGGGTGCGGGGCTGGGTTCAGCCCAGGCTGTGCTGCAGGCACCGAGCTGAGCAGCTGCTGCCTCGCTCAGCCCTGCGACGGCTCTGCCTGAAATTAGAGGAGCTGGAGAGCATCGTTTGTAAATATAGACCCAGGCTGGCATTTTGCTGTGCAGGCACGTCCCAGCGAGCCCCCACGCTGAGCCAGCTGGGCAGGCACCGAGCCCAGGCTGTGAGGCTGTGGTGGCCAGGGGGGAACCCAGCAGAGCTTCCCTGGTGCAGGGGGGCTCGGGGACACCACGGTGCAGGATGTCCTGTCCCCCCCCCGGGTCAGCAGGGTCCGGGTGGGGACACGGAGGTGGCTGTGGGTGGCTGCTGGCCGGGGCTGCCCTCGCTGTGTGCCCAGGCCGGCTCGCAGGCGGTGCGGGTGATGCTGCAGGGGGAGCAGGACCCGCCGAGGAACCAGACGGCGCTGGTGGACGCGTCCAGGAGCACCGTGACTTACTACATCACCTCGCGGAGTAACCGCAGCGCCGTCGTGCTGTACGACAGCCAGAACGTGAGTGTGCCTGAGCAGGGAAAAAAGCAACCTGCCCCTGCTCCCCATCCCTCTGTGCCCCCAGTACCACACAGCCCCGGGGGGCACCCTGGGGACAAGCAGCCACAGCCTGCCCGGGATGCTCCTCGTGCTAAGCCGCGGTGGCTTGCTGCACAGAGGAGAAATGAGGCACACCAGGGAGGGATGCCCACAGCTGGGCTCTCGAGGGAGCGCGCTGCCTGCTCTAACAGGGCACGTTTTATCTCCCAGGGCTATGTCTGCTACCGGCCCGCGGAGCAGCACGCCTGCTACCTGCGCAGGATGGAGCCCGGGGACCGTGAGAGCACGCGGGGGACTCTGAGCACGGCTGAGCTGAGGGTGAGCGATGGGCACGGCCGGGGGGTGCCTGGAGGGAAGGGGGGGCTGCGCTGAGTGCCCTCTGCAGAGGGGCTGCCTTCTGGGCAATGCTGCTCCAGGCAGTGCTGCTTCAGTTCCTGCTCGGTGCCGGGCTCTGAGCGAGTCTGGGAGCACGCAGACAGCTCCTGATTTTGCTGAGAGCCTGCCTGCTGTGAGAAAGAGCAGAGCTGCAGGTCGGGAAGGGGCTCTGTCCCACAGAGGCGAACAGGAGGGCTTTCAGAGAGCCCAGTCCCGCTGTATTCTGTTACCTGCTCAAAATTCTGGGGAACAGAGAACAAAGAGGGGTCTGTGAGCAGCTCACAGGAGGCGAGTCACGTCCCCAGCCCCTCTGCACAAAATAGTAACGGGTACACAGGGGGTGTTCTGTTTCAGCAGCCAGCTGCCTGCCTTGGTTGTGCCCTGCCGGCTGCTCCCCCCTTCCTAGGGGCTGCCGGGGTCCCCCTGGTCCCTGCTGGATGCCACCCACCCAGGGGGGAAGGAGGGGTGCGAGGAGCCCTGGCTCCCCAGGAGAAGCAAGCTCCTGCCAGGCTCTGGGGCTCCTTCAGGAAACTCCCCAGCTTCCACTGACCAAAAGCATCTCCAGGGGGGCTCTTTTGGGTGTCTTGGATGTGCGAGCAGGGCTGGGGCTGAAGGCAGGGCGAGGTGTCCCAGGGGAATTAACAGGGAATTACCGGGACTCTTTCCCCCAGGGCGAGCTGCTGCTGCAGCAGAATAACCAGACCAAGTACTACCGCGAGTTCCTGGGCATCCTGGCGGGGCAACAAGTGGACCCCAGCGGGCTGGGGGAGGCCGTCCAAGCCCTGTGCGAGCAGACACCCATCTTCTGGGTGAGGAGAGCAGGGGGTAAGTTGCATTCAGAATCGGGTCCTTGCTCAGGGATCGCTGCCCTGCTCTCACCCACAGCCTGCAGCGAGCCGTGCTGCTGGCAGGGAGAGGATCCGTGCCCCTTCCTCCAGCAGCACAGCACGAGCTCCCCCCTGATGCTGTTGGCTTAATGCTTGCCACCTTCATCTTCACCATAAGCAGCCTGCAGAGCTCTCCTTCTGGTCATACCCCAGCTTTAATGAGCGTGGTCATTCCCTCAGGCGTTCTCTTTCTCTGGCTCCCTGGGGATTTAGCTGCAGGTCTGCAGCAGCATCCCTCACCTCCCTTCTGTCCTCGCTCATTTGGCAGGTCCGGGGAAGCAGCGGCTGATCTACCTGTGCATTGACATCTGTTTCCCGAGCAACATCTGCGTGTCTATCTGCTTCTATTACCTCCCCGAGTAAGTCCCGCAGCCGCGGCTGCCCTCTCGCTGCTCTACATCCTTGAACTGGATTCCTGAAAAGCCTCTGCTTTCAACAAGGTAACGTCTCCACCGCCCGAAGGCTGCCTGCTGCTCTCACGCTGCACTTCAGGAGAGTTTAGGAAAATAACAGGACTCAGCACCGTTGGTACAGACGCTTTATTGCAGCTCTGCTTCGGGGCTGCATGGAGCACGTAGCTACTAGGAGACCTAGACAGGCACCGCGGGGAGCAGCTCGTGTTTGCTGGCCACACGCCCTGCTCAACACCAGGTTATTAAACTTGTCGGGGTGGCTGGTTTCATAACAGCGCAGCTCCAAGTCAGGCTGTGAAATACACTTTGAATAAAGGGGTTGCAAAACAAGAAAACAGCGACTTGTCCTCTGTGCAGCCGACTCCCGTTGTTAGGCTGATTTTTTCCACTTTGGGGTACAAAACCATCACGGGGCTGTTGGCAGCAGCCTCCGCAGGGATGCCTCCAGCTGCTCTGCGCCCAGCTCCCCTGTGGCACCGTGCCTCCCCTTCCCTTTTGCCCAGGTGGCCTCCCTGCGAGGCCGAAGCTGAAGCCTGGTCTCACTCCAGGCAGACGCTGCCCCTGCAGCAAGCCCAGAGCAAGCCCTCTCCCTCCGAGGGGACAGCACCGAGTGCCCGTCTCGTGCTCCAGGGAGGGTGCTGGCTGTTTTAAGACAAGGGAAAACAAGCAGAGGTCCTTCCTGTCCCCCACGTCACCGTTATCCCAACACGCTGTCGTTGAAGGCGAGGCAGACGACTGCTTTCTGGTGGCCGCTGTATTCCCTCTTGATCTCTCCTGTCTCCACGCACCAAAGTCTGGCCAAGTTATCAGAGGAGGCTGCAACAGAAGGGAAAAAGAGAAGGAGGAGATATTGTGCTGCCCTTCAAACTTTTTTTTTTTATTAGAAGCAAGGTTGTCCTCTTGCTTCATTCAACAGTTCTGAGTGCTGTTGATGATAGGCAAGGGAGCTGTGCAGAGCGAGACACTCGGGGCATTTTGGTATTAGTTGGGATATTCAGCTCATCACAGAGGAGTTACCGTGCAAATTACACAGGTTTTGAATGGACTTCATGCTGCACGTACTGCAGGCAGCATTGCTAGCAGGCAAAATAAACTGCACAAATGAGGATCACCTGTCCATTTTAAACAGGAGGCAACGGCTGCCCTAATACAGCACAGGCTGAAAGCCGGAGGGATTTTGTGCACTGTGCGGTGGGCAGGAGGCTGAGGACTCTACCAGAACGGTTTTCTGTCCTCACACACACATCGGGGTTTGGCAGTGTCTCCCCTAGAGAACCTCAGCCTTGTGTCAGTGCCTGGCCCCACGGGCAGCGAGCTGTCGGTGTCCCACCTGTGACAATGTACTGGGAGTCCCCGGAGAAGGCACAGTCCCACATCCAGCCACGAGAGGTTTCCCCTGGGTTATTGCTCTTAATGCTCAGCTCTGTCATCAGAGAGAAATTCGAAGTCCTCCAGATCTTACACGTCTGGTCTGCAGAACACGTAGCCAAGAGCCTGCAACGAGACATGCACGGGTAACCCAGTTAGTCACCGTGTGCCCAAAGCCTCTCGTTAATACGGGTCTGGAACAGTAATGAACCAGAGAGCTGTGCTCTTTGTAATCAGATTTTTTTGCCTTTGTATTTTCTGCCTTATGAGTTCAAACTGTACTGCCTGGTGAAGGAGCACACCAAGCTCCCCGCTTGCTCCTGGAGATCAGCAAGCGGAGCCCAGCGCCTGGCTGGGAACCCACAGAACACTGCGGGACCCCTGGGACACCTCTGGGACACCCGGACCACCGCCCCCACCCCATTCCTCCCGGGGCCCTGCAGCACGGAGCCCAGAGCCAGGGGCACGGCTGCTCCCGTTGGGGCCACTCACGTGGAGTCAGGGCTGAATTTGCACTGCAGGGCGTAGCGGTTGTGCGCCGGGATCTTGGTTTTGGGGATCAGCTGGGTCACCTCCTCTCCGATGCCGCCCGTCAGGTTCCACACGTAGCAGTTTCCCTGCGGGGAGAGGGGGGGGGGCTGTGGCCGGGCTGGTGGCCCCCACCTGAGAGCAGCCTGGGCTCCCTGCGCCCCACCAAAGTGCAGGAAAACTCCACGGGATGTGGGAACGGGGAGCTCTGCCCACGTGAGGGTGTCCCAGGTGGAGCAGCCCACCCGTACATCACACCCCACGGCCGAGGCTGCCGGAGCTCACCGAGCTGTTGACAGCTGCCATGTAGCTGGCATCGGGGTCGATGTGCACCGAGTTCACAGAAACTTCGGGCTCCGGAATCAGCTGCTCGTTGTGGTCGGTTTTCAGGTCCCAGATGTGAATGGCACCGCTCTGATCGCCCACAATCAGCTCGGCCTGCAAGAAAAAAGCAAACTCTGGGAAATCCCCCCAAAAGAGCAGCCCCAGAGCACGTCCCTGCAGCACCAGCTGGAGCCTTGCTCTGGTTTTAAGCATCGGGGTCCTCCTCTGCCCAACCACTCCCAGCACAGAGCTGGGCCTCTGCTCACCACCGGGAATGGTTTCGGAGCCCCAGCTCCCAGGCAGACAGCAGCCTGCTGATCGCCCTGAGCACCAAGAACAGGCCAGGCATCAATCTCACGTTACGCTCTGCAAAAAGGCTGTTTACCTTTGCAGAAGTGTTTGCTAATTTTATAAGCCCCAGAACAGACAGCAGGTGCCTAATTTGCAGCGCTGTTGTTCAGCTGCTGCTCCAAACAACATCCACAGAGGCCAAGTGACTTTCAGCACGTCTGAGAAGCGGGCACGAGGACGCAGGTTGGCCAGAGAACAACTGGAGCACTCAAGAGCGTGCAGACACCTGAAAAACATGAGCCTAAATAGGTTTTTCTCTCTCTCCCCTTCTCCGAGAGGGTAAGGACAGGAGCCAGCCGAAGGGCAGGAGTTCTGGCTCCGATCCCCGCTCAGCCCAGCAGACAATGCTGGCAGCTCTCCATCCAAACCGGGGCTTTTATCGACAGGCTCGCACTGCCCATGATTTTAGCAGAATCCCTAGAGGAGATCAGGTCATCAGGCACAGATGATCCCGTACCCATGAGCAGCGGCTTGTTTCTGGTGAAGACAATCCTCCCTCGATATTTTTAGCTGACTGTGCAGTGCAGAGGCGTCTCCTGGACGCCGCAGTCCTCAGCCCACCCTTAGCAGGTGCGAGTACAACTGCTGTGCCCAAGCCATCACGGCTTTACCCAGGCTGCGAGAAATCCCTCTGAGAACCGAGCCAGCAGCGCTGCAGCGAGGAGTGGCACAGAGAGATGAAGCTGCCTGAATAAACACCGCCACCCCTGGGCTAATTAACTCTGTCCTGCTCGCAAACCAGCGCTTCTCCTGCAACTCAGCAGCAGCATGGTCAGGGATTAGTTCACGTTTATCATCCCCGTACAGCATTTGTTTCGCTGCAATACGTTCTCACAGCACTACGGGAGCATCAGCAGCGTTTGGGTGAAGTCTGCTCCAAATAACCAGCATCAAATTCAGCATTTGCAAAATTGAACCCTTGCAAAATCAAAAGCAAAGAAACATTTCTGTTATAGGTCTTTTTAAAAGGTCTGCTCTCGAGACACACAAACCTTGCACTGCCACATCTGCAACTCCAACCCTGCAGCCCTGTGCGTGCAGAATGGACCTGGACATGCTGTCAGCACCGCAATAATATGCACTGATTCTCACTGCCATCTCCTCCAACACATCACACTCCTTGTTAGCTTTGTTTCCTCAGCCCAAGCAATCCCCGTGGCAGCTTTTGAACCAACTGGTGGCTCCCCAGCAAATCCAGCAGGAGTCACACAGGGAAGTGGGGCTGTGAGCCTCTCTGCTTTTTTCTTGCTGGCAGTGCTAACACCCCTGGTTTGACTCGTGGGGTGGTCCCCAAGGGGTGGGACGAGAGGCTGACAGCCACTGTGCTGCCTCAAGGCACCAGCCAGCAATTAGCACAAGGCTCAGCAGAGGCACCCACGCACCACTCAGCCTGCAGCAGGTGCCAAACAAAAGGGGTGCGAGCCCTGGATGTCCGCTCACCCCCAGCCCCTCTTGGGGGGTGTTTGCTTCCCTGTGCAAGGCAGCGGCAGGGACACGCTCTGCCTGCACCACGAGGCTGTCCCTGCACCGACCCCAGCTTTTGGGGCACGAAGCTGTCACTGCTGGTCCCACAGTGCCACCAGCACCCCCAGGGGCCGAGCATTGGGGTGCCCACCGCCTCCTCCAGGCACAACGGTGGTGAGGGGCTAGGAGAGACAGAGCTGTACGGCTCCGACCCCATCCATGTGTGGCTGTGAGCTAACGACCATCCCTGCATCACCTTGCTGAGAGCCTGCTCCCACCGACCTGACCCACGCAGCCAGTGTCGTGCGTGTGTTCACCCCGAGAACATGCCGTGCTGCAGCTGCCAGCACAAAACCCCGCAGCCCCCCGGCTTCCCCAGGGGCAGCGCTGGCAGCAGGAGCTGGGAAGTCGCAGGGATGACACTCACCTGGTTGGGGTGCAGGCAGACACAGTTAATGGGGGCGTTCACCTGGAAGATCCGCTGGCACTGGAGGTTGCGGGACCTGCAAGGGAACAACGTGGATGTGCCGGAGCTCCCCGGGGCACCCACCCTGGCCCCATACCGGGGGGAGCGCGGCCGCCCCTGCCCACCTGAGGTCCCAGATGCGCGCCATGCAGTCCTCCCCGCCCGTGTACATCCAGCGGCCGTCCTCGTGGAAGCCCACCGAGGTGATGTTCTTGCTCACGCCGTCGTAGTTGATGACGGGGTTGGGGTTGTTGGAGTTGAGGTCGTACATGCGGATGTGCTGGTAGCCTGCGGCACCGGGCGGCGCTCAGTGGGGCTGGGGGAGGGGGGAGGGACAGGGACAGGGCCCCGCCACCACCACCCAAACCCCGGGGCTCACCTGCGGCTGCGATCATGCTGCGGTCAGGCGTGATCTCCAGCGCGTTCACCTGCTGCGGTGCCGGTAAGGACGGGAACGGCACCGGGACCCCCCCCCATGCACCTGGGACCCCCCGATAACAGCACCGGGACCCCACCACGTACCAGGACTCACCGGTAACGGCACCAGGACCCCCACCACGTACCCCGTCCCTCCTCTGTTACCAGCACCGAGCCTTCCCCCACACCCACCGGCTCCCCCCGGTAACAGCACCGAGCCCCCCCCATACCGGCCCACCCGGTAACGGCACCGGGACCCCCCCCCATGCACCGGGACCCCCCAGTAATGTCACCAAAACCCCCCATTAACAGCACCGGGCCCCCCACACCCCACCCCCCCACCCACCGGCTCCCCCCGGTGCCACCCCCGGGCCCCCCCCCCCCCTCTCCCGGTGCAGGATACGGAGTCCTGGTGCTGCACGGTGCGCGTGCAGATGCCGCTGTGCGCCTGCCAGAAGCGCACGGTGTGGTCGTACCCGGCGGTGGCCAGGATGACCGGGTCGCTGCCCACCGTGCCCTGCGCCGCGTTCATGGCCCCGCCGCCGCCCCCCGGTTACCGGCACGCTGCCCGCCGCGCCCCGCTCTGCGCATGCGCCGCGCACCTCCCGCGCACGCACCCGGTGCGCCACCGCCTCGCTGACGTCACGCGGGGGGCGTGGCCGTGAGCACGGAGGGGGCGGGGCTAGGACGGGAGGGGGCGTGGCCTGCGCGGAGGGGGCGGGGCCGGGGAGGCGGCGGCACCGGGGGGCAGCGGGGACACGGGGGGGCGCGGGGACACCCGGGGGGGGCAGCGGGCACCGGGCAGCTCCCGGTGGGTGGCGGCGCTCGGTGCAGCCGGGCTCTTTAAGAGCGGCGTTGGGGCGGGCTCGTGCCCGCGCCCGGTGCCGGGGAGGGTGGGCGGGGGGTGCGGGGGCTTCAGCGGAGCACCGGGACCGGCACCGGCACCGGGCCCCCCCCGCCGCGCCGTGCCCGCGGCTCCCGGCTGTGTCAGGTGAGCGGGGCGCGCTCCCGGGGGGCTGCGGGCACGGCGCGGCGGCTGCCACCGGGGAGCGACCGGCACCGGGCCTGGGGGCGGGGGGGGGGGGTGAGCCCCGGGGTGCCGCCTCCCCGTTAAATAACGGGCGGTGACGGCAGCGGGGCCGGGCGCGGAGCGGGGCTGCCCCCAAACCGGGGCTGGTTCGGGCCCCGCGGTGCCGTGCGGGGGCTCTGCCCGGGTGCCGCCGCCCAAGGGGAGGTGAAGGTGCCGGGGATGGCACCGCAGCACCCCCGGGAGCTGAAATAACGCCCGTGTGCGCCACTGCCTGCTCCACGGGGGCACCTGGTGCTGGGGGCCACCGTGGCCGTGCTGCAGCCCCCGCCCTGGCCATGCCCGGTGCCCACCACCCGGTGCCCACCGCTGCTCCCCCCGCAGGTGCCATGGCCACCCCGTGATGCCACCTGGCAGGGCTGTCCTGTGACCAGCCCCCATCCCACCGCCCTCGGAGGTGACACCGGAGCACCCGAGGGGGGTGCACTTGGGGGCACAGGCAGGTCCCAGCACCAGCCCCGGGGCACATGAGGTAGGGGGGGCACCGGAGGTTTCTTTGCCCATCCCTGCAGGGGGAGCAGGGTGGCAGGAGGGGTCTCACCGTGTCCCTTCCTTTGGGCCTCACACGGGTCTGTGGGGTGCCCTGCTCTTGGGGTCTCGGTCGCTGCCCTGCAGCCATGGCCTGCCAGCGGAGCACCAAGCTGAACCTGCTGCGCCTCGCCGTGCTGCTCATCGTGGCTTTGGCCGGCATCAAGTTCCTCCTCCGCGACAGGTGAGGTGGGAGCAGGACTGGGACACGAGCTGGGGGAGCCCTGCAGGGTCAGGGAACCAGCGGGGGTCTGCGGGGAGCTCCTGGGCTGTGCCCACGCAGGAGCTGGGTGCCAGGGGCAGCTGGTGCCTCCGTGCCCCCAGCCCTGCTCTGCTCCCTGCAGCTTGACCCTGGAGCTGCACAGGCACATCCCCAAGGACAGCGGCTTCTGGGGGGACACGGGTGACACCAGCCAGGGCGCCGGCCCCCGGAGCCAGGCTCTGGAGCTCCCCGTGGCAAAGATAACGGCCCCGAGGCAGGGCCCTGGGCAGCAGGGCCCCAAGGACAGCAGTGGCACCGAGATGAGGCTGGTGCACCTCGACCTCAAGGGAGCTGCGCCCAAGGTCTCCTACCTGGAGCAGGTGAAGGCGCTGGGGACCAGCCAAGTGGGGCAAGGCTGGGCCTGGCTGTCCCCGCTGACACCCGCACCCAGGGGTGCCAGCAGGCTGAGCCCACCCTGCCATCCCACAGCTCTTCCCACTCCTGTCCCGGCTGGGTGCCAACGGGGTCCTGATCGAGTATGAGGACATGTTCCCCTTCAAGGGCGAGCTAGAAGTCCTCAGGTCTCCGTATGCTTACAGGTGAGCTGGGGCTGGTGCTGAGCTGGCCGAGGGGATGCTGGCACCACCAGCGCCAGTCTGGGTGTGCCCCGCCTGGGCTGTGCCCGAGCTGTGCATGGTGCTGCAGGCAGACCTGCTCCCTGCTCTGCTGGGTCAATATTTGTGGCCCCAAAGCCAAGACCCCACAGGTATGGGGCAGCCAGGAGACCTGGGGTGGGGCAGGATGCTGGAGGAGGAAGAGGAGGAGGAGGAGGGAATGTCCTCGTGCCCATGTGGCCCGCACTGAGGCTGTCCCTGCCCTCCCCAGCGAGGAGGACATCGACTGGATCCAGCAGCTGGCGGAGCTCCACAAGCTGGAGGTGGTGCCCCTGGTGCAGACCTTTGGGCACGTGGAGGTAGGGGCCGGGAGCATTTTTGGGGTGGCAGGATGGGGACACTGAGAGGCGGAGGGGGGCTGTGTCCCCAGCACCTGGCCTGGAGATGGATGCGTCACTGGGTCCGTGTCACTAGGCCCATGTCCCCAGCCCTGTTCCTTTATCCCCACTTTTTGGCCCACGTCTGGCCCCCACGGTGGGTTTCCTCCCCACGCAGTTCATCCTCAAGCACGAGAAGTACCAGCACCTGCGGGAGGTCGAGCGCTTCCCCAACAGCTTCAACCCCCACGTCCCGGACACGCTGGCGCTGCTCAAGAGCCTCCTGTCGCAGGTGATGGAGAAGCACAGGCGCTCCTCCTGGATCCACATCGGGGCGGACGAGGTGGGCTCTGCGGGACCCCAGCCACCGCCGGCTGCCAGGCCTGCCCCGAGGCGTGCTGAGCACCCCCTGTAACCCCCAAATCCAGGTCTTCCACCTCGGGGAGGGGATGGACTCCAAGAGCTGGATGAGCCACAACAGAGGGGACGTGGGCACCATGTACCTGAAGCACATCAAGCAGGTGCTGGGCTTCATCGCCGCGCGGTACCAGGGGCTGCGGGCGCTCATGTGGGACGACATGCTGAGGAAGATCAGCACGGGAGCCCTGCGGGGTGAGAGGATGGGGACGGCAGCAGTTGGGCATCTTGGTGGGGGTGTGAGGACCCCCAGGCACCCTCCTGCTGATGTCCCTGTCCCTGCCTTGCAGAGTCTGGGATAGCAAAGCAGGTCTCGCCTGTGGTGTGGTTCTACGCGCCCGACTTCGAGGTCGAGCAGATTGGTAAGGTGCCAGTGCCAGGACCCTGGGGAGGGGAGAGGGGGGGGGACACTGACCCCGTGGCTGGTGGCACTGCTGCTGCAGCCACCGCACCGAGCCCAGCTGGCCCCTCAGGATGGTGGCAGGGGTGGCACAGGGTCTGGTGCCTGTCCGTACCATCCCACTGTCTCAGGGGTGATGCTTCCCGCTCACCTTGGCCACGCTGGCTCCCACTTTCCTTCCAGCCCCAAGAAGCCCCCCTGTGCACAGGCTCCTGCTTTGGGCAGAGCAGCCCCTGGCAGACGGGGTCCCTGCCCACCCTGTGCCACCCCACACCACTGAGCCACGAGCGTGACCCCACTCCCCGGTGCCGCAGGGCAGTTCCTGACCAAATACGCAGAGAGCGGCTTCGAGGCCGTGTGGTTCGCCAGCGCCTTCAAGGGCACCACGGGCCCGGCGCAAACCTGGCCCCCGCTGAACCACCACGTGAGGAACCAGCTCAGCTGGCTGCGGGTGATGCAGGCCATGCCGCGCTTCGCCCCGCTGCGCTTCCAGGGCATCGTCCTCACCGGCTGGCAGAGGTGGGCGCCGTGCCACGCGTCCCAGCCCCACCGCCCAGGTAACCACGCACGAGGTGACGGCACGGCTGTCCCTGCCCCGCAGGTACGACCACTACTCGGTGCTCTGCGAGCTGCTGCCCGTCGGCATCCCCTCCCTGGCTGCGTGCCTGCAAACCCTGGTGCACGGTGAGCGGGGCCGTGCCCCTCATCCACACCCTTCCAGCATCGTTGGAGCCCCTTTGGCTGCTGGGGAGGGGGCAGCAGGGCTCCCCTGGTGTGGTGTGGGGTCACCTGGGTCCCCTCTCCTCGTCCTCCTCAGGGGGCTTCATGGAGGAGACGCGGAGGAAGGTCCTGGACGTGCTGGGCTTCCAGAGCCTGCAGCTGGAGCAGGGCACGTGGTGCGTGGCTGCGGCACGGAGCGGGGTGCCCCGGGGGGATCAGGGAGTGCTGCCCCTAGCCCAGCAGGGTGCGGGGGCTCACCACCCAGCCTGGAACCGTGGCTGGTGCCGTGCCACGTGCTGGGCTCTCACCTCCCCTCCACGCTTTCCCCACAGTGAGGGAAGGGGAGCGTTCCCCGGCGTAGAAATCTATCACATGGTGGAGCAGGTAAACGGCCACCTGAAGGAGAGCGTCCAGAAAGCCCTGGAGGAAGAGAGGTAACGGTGGTGGGAGGGTCTGGCCGTGGGGCTGGAGCAGTGGGGCCCTGCAGGGTCTGGGTGGCCCCCTGCCCCCTGCACCCCCCCTCCCTTGTGCCTCCCCAGTGGCATCAAGGGCTGGTTCAGCCCCTACCATCGGAAGCACCAGTTTGGGAACCCCCGCAACATGGAGAGCTTCGGCAGCAAGCTGCTCAAGTACGTGGGGTGCCGGGGGACAGGAGCAACCCCGGGTCCCCCCCCCTTTGAGGAGGTTCCAGTCTCACCCTGGGGAAGCCGGAGCCAGCTCTCACTCCCTTCTCCCCACCCCAGGCTCCACGAGGACTGGGAGAGCCTGGTCCGTGAGCTGCGTGCCCAGCTGGAGAGCATCTACTTCCCCGACACGGTGGAGGAGTGGATGGAGGAGAACGTCAACCCCTACCTGGACCAGCTGCGGGACCTGGTCCGGGACTACCGGGCCATCATCCGCCTCAACGCCCGCCCCAAGGCATCCTAGGGGCTGTGCCCCCCCCCTCCCCGGCTCCAGCTGCCCCCCGGGACTGGGCTGCAGGAGCCCCGGTTGGGGGGTTTGGTTTGCTGGCTGCACCCCCCTCCTGCTCGAGGCATGGCTGCTGGTTGTTTCCTACTGCACAGAGAGCTCCTGCGCGCCCCCCTCCCACAATAAAGTATTTTTGTAGATGCTGCTGGGTGATGGAGGGGGGCACGGCTCTGCCCCCTCCCCGGGGGAGAGGGAGGGGAAGCAGGGGCAGGGATCAGCCCAGCTGGGTGGGGAGGGTCCCAGGGGGGGCTTCAGCTGCTCGGGGCTGGGGCCCCTGTTTCAGGCACCGTAGGTCCTGCCCCAGACAAGGTGGCTGTGCCTCTTGTGGGGGCAGAAACGGGGGCGTGGGGAGGTGCAGCACAAGGTGGGGCTGTCCCAGAGCTGGTGCCTTTGGCAGCTGCAGGGCAGTGTGACAGCGGGGACACCGCTGTCCTTCGTGGGGGCTGTGAGGGTGGCCGTCCCCTCCCTGCGGTGTGGGACCCAGCCCGTGAGGGTGCTGCCAAGGGCACAGCCAGCCACACGAGGGCTGCTGCTCCGGCCATTTCCTTGCCTCCTTCATGCCTTGGAGAGGGGTCGCAGGGGCCCTGCCAGGCTCCCCCCAGCACCCCCTCCCCAGCAGCCCCCATAAGAACCCCGATGGCTGGGATGGGAGAGCCTGACACCGCTCCCTGTGCCGAGCCGTTCCCAAAGCGCAGCCTTTCCTCTTGCCTTCCTCCAGGAGCCTCCTGTGCTGGCAGCCCTCGATCCTGCACGGGGTGGGCGTCCTGCAGCAGGGCTGCCTCTGGTTGCTGCCAGTGAGGGGTCCCATGCAGCGGTGCCCCCACATGCCCAGCCCTGCTGCAGGGGGAGGCGAAGACAAGCCCCCCGTGCCCACAGCTCTCCCTGCCCTAACGCCGGTTTGGGCACCACGTGCACAGGGCGGTGATGTGGATGCTTCACTGCACATTTTGCTGCTCCGTGAGGACCAATGAGGCTTGGCAAGAGCCTGGAGGGAGCTGCAGAAGCACGGGGCACTCTGGGGCTCCTGCTGCCACAGCGTGGCTCAGCAGGGGGGGGCACACAGCTCTGCCACCCGTGTCCCAGTGCGGCTGCAGGAGGTCTGGTGCCCTGGGGGCTGCCCCATCCCCGGGTGCTGGGTGGGAAAGCCTTGAGACAGAGGCTGTGGGGTACAAAGGGCCCTTTGCTGAGGAGCTGTGTTGATGTCCTCGAGTGGTGGCAGACCCCAGGGAAGCCCCGACCTGCCGGGGCAGCCCGGACACGTGCCCCCAGCCCCCAGCCCGGGGGGGCCCGCAGCAGCTCAGGTCCCCGTGCGGCTGCACACCACCAGCCTGTGGGATTAGAGGGCAGATTAGGCGGCGTCTCGTGCTGGAAACCCAAATGTCCTGGATTGGAAAATGGGGGCAGGGAGAGGAGAAGGACCCCGCTGCCCCTGAGTCAGCCAGAGCCGGGGGCTGCAGGGGGAGGTGGGGGCTGAGGAGGGTGCCCGTGGCTCCAGCTGGGCACCGGCCAACCTGGGCAGGCCTGGGGTGGGCCAGGGGCACTGCGGGGCAGTCGGCTGATGTTGGTCTGGGTGTTGCCTTGTGCCCCCCATCCTTCCCCCTGCCACATGGGTCTGTGGCTGCCTGTCCCCGTGCCCTGCACCGTGCCCTATGCAGCCACCAGCTCGCTGCCCTGCTGCAACCCGTGCTGTCCCGTGCCCAGCTGGGTGCCAGCTTCTGGGCACGCACACCCCAAGGTTGATTCTCCAGAGCTGGGACCTCAGCTCTGGAAAAGGCAGTAATTTAGTAATTTAGGCAGTAATTCGCCTGGCAGAGCAGAAATTTGTCCCCTGACTTTGTGCAGGTGCTGGCGGGGCTCTGCACCAGCAGCCCACTGAGCCTTGCCCATCGCTGCCCCATCTCCCAGGGGCTCCCCAGCACCCTCCCGGCCCCGGCCCAGCCTCCAGCACCTTCAGTGCCTTCAGGTCCTTCAAGCCGCAAAAAACCGCCCGGGGACGAATGTCACCGGCCATTGTGTCTGCACAGGCGGAAAATTAGGCAGCAATCAGGGCTTTATTTGCGGGAATCCAGCAGCTCCCCCAGCCCGCTTCCCTCCCCAGCCACCGGGGGGGGACTGCAGGGGCCGGGCAGAGCCGCGGGACGGGGCCCTGGGACGGAGCCTCCCGGCGGGCACGGCCCCCCCCGGCCCTCCCCCGGGTGCCGCAGCCGCACCGAGCCCCCCCCCCCCCAGCCTTACCCCGCTCCGGCCGCACCGCGACCCCCCCGGGAGCCCCTCTCCGGGAGCCCCCAGCACCGGGCACCCCCCCGCGCCCCCTCCCCTTCCTCCCCCCGGGTCCCCCAGCCCCCTCCCCGCGCTCCCGGCGCCCCCCCCTCTCCCGCCGGGGCTCCCGCCCCTCGGTGCCCCCCCCTCTCCCCCGTCTTTCCTCCCCCACACCGCTCCTGCCGTGCGCCCCGGTGCGGCTCCCGAGCGCCCGCGGTGCCCCCCCCCCCCTCTACGCTCCCGGTGGGGCCCCCCCCGCCCCGCCGCGCCCCGCCCCGCCCCGGGCGCCCGCCGCCCGCCGCCGCCCCCGCCTCCGGAGCGGGCTGGGGAGGGGGGGGGGCCCCGCACCGAGCCGAGCCGAGCCGCGCCAGCCGCCCGCCCGCCCCTCGCCGCGGAGGATGCTCGGGCCGTGAGCCCGCAGCCGGCAGCCCCGGCGCCGCGGAGCCATGGGCAAGGACCAGGAGCTGGTGCAGGCGGTGAAGGCGGAGGACATCGCGGCCGTGCAGAAGCTGCTGCAGAGGCCCAAGCCCGGCAAAGCCAGTGAGTGCCGCGCCGCGGGGGCCGGGCCGAGCCGGGCCGGGCTGGGCTGGGCGGGGGGCGGCGGCGGCCCCGGGCAGGGCGGTGGGGGGGGGGGGGGGCCGGTACCCGCAGCCCCTCCCCGGCTCCGAGCATCCCCGGTGCGGTGCGGTGCGGTGCGGGGGGCCCCCGGGCATCCCCGGCGGCGCCCCGGGGCTCGGCCCTGCTGGGAGGGGGGGGGGGTCCGGTGGGGCCGCGGGGAGGGGGGGCGCGGGAGGCGGCGGCGGAGCGACCCCCGGAGCCGCGCGGGTGCTCGGCGCTGCACGGGCTCGGCGGTCCCGGTGCAGCCCCGCAGCGCCTCCCGCACTGCCCGCGCCCCGGAGAGGCTCCGAGCCCCCCGGGGAGCCGCTGCAGCACGGGGGGGGGTCGGGAAGGGAAAGGGGGGGGGAAAGCCGGGGGCATCCGTGCGCGGCTTGTGTGCACGGCCCCTGTGTGTGTGTGTGTGTGTGTGTGTGCACCAGGGCTGCCGCCGCCTGCACACATATGTGCGTGTGCCCGTGTGCAGCTGTGCCCGTGCTCGCCTGCGTGCGTGCCCGGCTGTGCGTGTGTGCCTGTGTTTGGGTGCGGGACTGTGTTTGTGTGCCGGTGTGTACCCTGGCATATGTGTGTTTGGATGTGTCTGTGTTGGTGTTTCTCCGTGTGGGGGTGTTTGGATGCAGCTCCACGGGTGTCTCCCCGCGAGCATCTCTGCGCCGGGCTGTGCACAGCTCTCCCCAGGCGTGCACACCGCCGTGGACGGCCGTGCGCGAGGCTGCGGGGGTGTAGCTGTGCGTCTCCTCCGTGGGTACATGTGTGTGGCTCCGGGAGTGTCTGCTCTCTGTGCGTTCCAACTGCTCTGCTGAGGCGTTTTACCCGGGACTGAATTATTCATGGTGCTGATGCAGCCGCAGGTTTCAGGCCTTGGCGTGCAGGGCTGGCGGGGCCGGGGGCTGTCCCTGGGCTCAGGCACGGCCCCCGGGGAGCATCCACACGGCACCGAGTCTCAGGGATGCTGCACGCAGCCCCGCCACCACCATGCCCCCAGTCCTTCCCTCGGTGCCCCCCAAATGTGGGCACCCCCGTGGTCCCAGAGCTGTGCGGGGCTGGCACAGTGTCCCCTGATCCTGGCCACACAGGGGTGTTTCTGCCTGGCTTCTTCCTGAGCTGGCCCAGTGTGGGTGTCCCCCGTATCCTGGTGCTGAGCAGGGCTGGCACAGCCTCCCCCATGTCCCCACTCCTGTGCAGGGCCAGCGTGGCATCCCCCATGTCCTGGTGCCATGCAGGGCCGTTGTTGCATCCCCTGTGCCCACAGCTGTGCAGGGCCAGCACGGTGTCCCTGTGTCTAGCTGCCATGTAGGACCAGCACGGTGTCCCTCTGTGCCTCCAGTGCCCCTGCTGAGGGCCTGTGCAGGGAGGGAACAGGCTCCAGCACCAAACCTCCTTCTTCCCAACCCATTTCAGGTGCTGCCACTTCGCAGCCTCCCAGAGCAGCACACGGGGACAGGAACCTATGTGTGGCTCACACACTGTCCCCACGCATCCCTCCCAAGCCCCCACTGGCCTGGGCACACAGCTGGCATCACTGTGACAAGAGCCAGCGGTGCCGTGCCAAGTGCCACCACCTCCTCCTGCACCCATCTCTTCCCAGCCCCGCTCCATCGCATGTCCCACTGCGGAGCCCCCCGGGTGCTGTGCAGCAGGATGCCCGTGGGACCCAGCAGTGCTCCCAGTGCTGGGCTCCTGGGAAAGGGACAAGGGACCCCCGTGATACTGAGCCTGGCACCAGGGGGATGCTCGCTGCAGGCCCAGCTGCTTGCCCCATGCCCTGGCCGGGCTGCACCTCTCCAGCTCTGCTGGAGTCCCCAGGGCTGTGCTGGGACTGCGCTGCTCCTGCTCCCAGGGGACCCGACCCAGGGCAGTGTGTGTGGCAGCGGGTGCCATGCTCCTGGCAGCAGCAGCGGGGCTGGGGGAGCGCTGAGCAGTGGCTGTCCCGATGCCGGGTGTCCCCATGCCCCCTCTCCATGTGCCATTCCCACGCGTGCCTCCGGTGCTCCCCGCGCTCTTCGGCACCGGGAAGATTTGTAACTCTAGCTCTGTTATCTGGATAATATCCTATTCATGTGGGGTTTAATAAATGAGATTTTAAAAATCCCTGCGTGAATTAACACGGGTTGCTATGGCGACGTGGGGCCCGATTTAGCAGAGTGGAGTAAGAGTTTGTGGGGCCCGGGCCGGCCGCAGCGCGCACCGTGTTCGCTTCCCGGGCATCCATAATTGATGAGGTTGTCTGAAAGTTACGCAAATCAGATGCAGGGATTTGGCAGCAAACTGTTTCCCTCCCTGTCCCCTCCTCCCTGGTGCTACCTCGAAGAATTGTAGTGACTTGGCGTTTTCACCTTGCCTCCCCAGCCTGGGCGCTGCGGGGCAGGACGGGGACCTGGGGCGTCCCCAGCAGGGGCTGTGCTGCTGCGTCCCCGTCCCAGGCCTTTGGGCAGCAGCAGATGGGGCTGCGCTGTGCTGGCAGGGGGGTCCCTCGGTGGTGGCATTTTGGAGCAGGCGGGCTCCTTCTCTGCGAGGTTGCTGCTGCGCTCATCTTATCCACTTGGAAATCACTTCTGCATGGCCCCCCGTGCTGCGGGAGGGACCTGGAGCTGAGGGACTGGGTCCTGCTGCCGAGCTTCTCCCACCCACCGTGCTGGGCACTTTGCAAATCACTTCCACGTGTGGCAGGTTTGTGCAGCACAGACATCCTGTCCCGTGTCCTGGTGTGCTGCAGGAGCTCTGGGTCCCTCTGTGGGGCTCCTGGGGCCGGGTGAGCTGCACTGCCTGGCCGGGCTCACAGCTGGGCACGGGGCTCACCACCCTTCGGGACGCTGCCATCCCATGGGGACTGCTCCTGGGCCACGAGCTGGGGCACAGCTCCAGGAAGGAAAACTGCTCCAGCCGCCGTCCCAGCACGAAGGGGGCCAGCAGAGGCAACCCGGGGCCAGGAGGCAGAAGCCAGGAGCCAGACCCCTCTGGGGTCCCGGGCAGGGCCCTGCTGTGCCAAGGGGCTGGGTGTGAGCGGGACCCCGGGATGCAGCCCTCGGGGGAGGCCTCCTGCCCTCCGGCGTGTCCTCCTGCGCGGCGGCCAGTTAATTCCAGGTTTTTTTTTGCCTGCATTTGATTGCATTAATAATCTCCTCTGATAACAGTATTTAATAAAACCGGGCTAATATGGCGCAGTTAGGAAATGTCTTTGACATTTTACAATTCAATTTCCATGCAGTAAAAGGCAGGGCAGCTGCAAATCCAATTGTGGTGCAGTGCACAGGGCGCGTGTGGCCGGCAGCCGCCGGAGCTGCCCGATTCCCCTCAGCCCTCCAGCAACACAGGAAACTTCCCTGGCCGGCAGCCGCTGCTAATGGCTCCCACTGCTGCACGAGGCAGCCCCTGCGTGCTGCAGGGAGAGCCCGGGCACCATCCAGCCACCCTGGGCAGCGGGAGGGACCCTACAAGTGCCACCAGCCTCCAGCGGGGCCAGGCTGGAAAGGGCTGTGGGGCCGGATCCTGCAGCAGCTCGGCCAAATGCCCCTGGTGATGGTGCTGGGAGCCTCCATCACTCGGCTGGACACTGCTCTCCCAGCCCCCCCGGCCCCCTCAGCACAGATTGAGGAGTGAAGCACTACGGGGAGATGGCAGCGCATCCCCAGCATGGGGCCCGAGGGGCCGGGTGGCTGCCGTGCGTAACGACGTGTCAGTGCTTCCCCAATAAACTTCTTTTCGGGGTTTATAACCTGCGTGTGAAACCTCGCACCGAGCAGGGACTTGGCAGCTGGGAGCACGCCGACATGCGCCAAGTTTCCTTCCAGAGGGGGATTATTACTCAGCCCGGGGTGACATGTATTTATTTTACATTTTCTTGCATCTCTCTGGCTGGGCTGAGGCTGCCGGCACGAGCCCTCCCCTTCCCTCCTGCTCCCGTTTTGGGGCCGGCTGCAGGGCCTGGGCAGCAGGAATGTGGGCCAGCGGCTCGGCGCCCAGCCCCAGGCTCCCTCACTGGCCTGGATTTCCTCACGGCAGTCCCGAATTCACCTGGTTTGACACCAATTAGCCCTGTGCTGGCGCCGTGGCCCCTTGCGCTGGGGCTCTCGCAGTGCTTCCCGCCCGGGGACCTTGCTGGTGGCCGCGCTGTGCTCCCGGTGCTGCCAGTGCCACTGCACTCCCCGAGCAGCCAGCACTCGGTGGCGGGGCGATGCCGCAGGGCACGGCCAGGACCGGGCTGCTCAGGAGGGGGCTGGTGCCGTGGGGGGCTCGGGGTCCGGCGGTGCCGCAGGGCCGGGTGCTGCAGGCCCCAGCTCCCCCTCCACAGCCGCCCTGCGGTTTCCCGTAGCCAGCCTGGCGTCTGGCTTTCTGCTGCTCGGGCTGCACTCCCTTTAACCCTTCCCTTCCCTCCCCAGCCTCCAAGAAGGGCTGCAAGCACCTCTGTGGCTTGGTGCCCCCGGGTGCCCCCAGCCCTCTGCGCTCCCCTGTGCCCGCAGGGCCCTGCGAGTGGCTGCACGTGCGTGATGAGGCCGCGAGGCAGCCCCGGTGGTGATGCCCATGGATGTGGCTGCGTGGCAGTGCCAGGGCCCCGTGGGTGCCCGTGGGGCAGTGGATGCAGCAGGAGCCCACCCCAGTGCTGTGTCCGTGGGGTCCTCGGTGTCGGACACACGGCAGGTGGGGGCTGCGGTCCCACTGGTGGTGTGGGGCTGGGGGCAGCGTGGGGCTGGGGGCAGTGTGGCTCTGGGGTGAGGCTGGGCTATGCCCACGGTTTGCTGCTGTGCTCTTCCTGCTGGTGTGGGGTTTGGGAGTGGGGTGTGCCCGAGGTCCGGGACTGCTGTCCCTCTTGCTGGGTGCTCACCACAAACCCACTCCGCACTGGCTTTGCCACGCTGGGCAGCTAAAGGTGCCTTTCACAAGTGTTCAAAGCACCATCGGGAGAGCACTAAAGAGTGAATTTGCAG